TTTTCTTTTACATTGATATATTAATTTTTTTGAAATGAACCTAATCGTAGATACCAAACACAGAATATAAAAACATGGAAAATAGAAAACTAGTGAATTGAAGAAAATAAAAAGTTTAATGAACATTTAATCGTAGATATTAACATTTAGTGATCATTAAAAAGTTTAATGAACATTTAATCGTAGATATTAACATTTAGTGATCATCTAATCATAGATTTATATTCAAGTATTGTCGTAGTTTGGGAAATTGAAAATATTGTTTTACTATTTTACGTCGATATATTAATTTTTTGAAATGAACCTAATCGTAGATATTTGACAAGATGCACAACAAAATATGCAAAAACATGGAAAATAAAAACATTAAACCTTGAATATGATAAAGACTTAAAAATTGACCACCTAATCGTAGATTTATACATAAAATATCGTTAACGTTTGGGAAACTGAAAGTTTTGTTTATATTCTTTTACGTTGATATAGTAAATTTTTTAAAAAGAACCTAATCATAAATATTTGACAAGATACATAACACAAAATGTAAAAACGTGGAAAATAGAAAACTTGTGAATTGATGAAAATAAAAACATTAAACCTTGAATACTCTAGACTTAATCGAAGACATTAACGTTAGAAAATATAATTGACTACCTAATCGTATATATATACCCAAGGATCGTCGAAGTTTGTGAAATTGAAAATATTGTTTATACTCTTTTACGTCGATATATTAATTTTTTTTGTCCTCAACCCAATCGTAGATATATTTGACAAAATACACAACACAAAATGTAAAACCATGGAAAATAAAAACTTTGAACCTTAATATGATAAAGACTTAAAAATTGACCACCTAATCGTAGATTTTTATGGTAAGTATCGTAGACATTGGGAAATATAAAATTTTGAAATATGAACCCTTAATCGTAGGTATTCTTGTAGTGAAATCCTAATCGTAGATTTATAGGCAAATTAGCGTTGAATTATGGTAAATTGAAAATATTGTTTTACTATTTTACGTCGATATATCAATTTTTTGAAATGAACCTAATCGTACATATCTGAAATGATACAACAAAATATGTAAAAAAATAAAATAAAATAAAAATAAAAACTAAACCTTATAGGATAAAAACTTAAAAATTGACCTCATCGTAGATTTTTATGGTACGTATCGTCGAAGTTTGGGAAATTGGAAAAATTGTTTATACTGTTTTACGTCGATATATTTATTTTTTTTGTCCTGAACCTAATCGTAGATTTATACATAAAATATTGTCGAAGTTTGGGAAATTAAACATTTTGTTTATATTCTTTTACGTTGACATAGTAAATTTTTATTTTTTGGAAGAACCTACTCGTAGATATATTTGACAAAATAGACAACACAAAATGTAAAAACATGGAAAAAATAAAAACTTTAAACCTTAATACGATAAAGACTTAAAAATTGACCACCTAATCGTAGTTTAAAAGTTTGAGAAATTGAAAGTTTTGTTTTTATTCTTTTACATCGATATAGTAATTTTTTGTTTTTTATATGACCTAATAGTAGATATTTGACAAGATACACACACAAAATGTAAAAACATGGAAAATAGAAAACTTGTGGATTGAAGAAAATAAAAACAATAAACCTTCAATACTCTACAGACTTAATCGAAGATGTTAACGTTAGGAAAATAAAATTGACTACCTAATCGTAGATTACAGACTTAATCGAAGATTAATAACGTTAGGAAAATAAAATTGACTAAACCTTTATACCCAAGTATCGTCGAAGTTTGGGAAATTGAAAATATTGTTTATACTCTTTTACGTCGATATATTGATTTTTTGAACTGAACCTAATAGTAGATATTAGACAAGATACCCAACACAAAATGTAAAAACATGGAAAATAGAAAACTAGTGAATTGAAGAAAATAAAAACTTTAAACCTTGAATATGCTAAGGACTTAATCGAAGACATTAACGTTAGGAAAATAAAATTGACTACCTAATATTAATTTTTTCAACTGAACTTAATCGTAGATTTATACATAAAATATTGTCGAAGTTTGGGAAATTGAACGTTTTGTTTATATTCTTTTACGTCGATGTAGTAAATTTTTTTAAAAGAACCAAATCGTAGTTATTAAAATTTTGTAAAATAAAATTGAGCACCTAATCGTAGATTTTAATGGNTAATCGTAGATATTCTTGTGACATCCTAATCGTAGATTTATAGGGAAAGTATCGTCGAATGGTAAATTGAAAATATTGTTTTACTATTTTATGTCGATATATTATTTTTTTGAAATGAACCTAATCGTAGATCTTTGTCAAGATACACAACAAAATAGTAAAAACATGGATAATAAAAACATTAAACCTTGAATATTATAAATACTTAAAAATTGATCACCTAATTATAGATTTATACATAAATTATCGTCAAAGTTTGGGAAATTGGAAGTTTTGTTTATATTCTTTTACATCGATATAGTAATTTTTTTTTACGTTGACATAGTAGTAATTTTTTTTTACGTTGACATAGTAAATTTTTTTACAAGAACAAAATCAATCATGGGCAAAAAAACCCACTGAAAAATAGTACAAATAAAACCTTTAAACCATGAACAGTTAATTGTAGATATTAACTTTTAGTGACATCCTAATCGAAGATTTACACACACACAAAGTATCATTGAATTATGGGAAATTAAACCATTTGTTTATATTGTTTTAAGTCGGAATTTTTTGAAATGAACCTAATCGTGATATTTGACATCAATCATGGGAAAAAAAAATTGTAAAATTAGTACAAATAGAACCTTTAAACCTTTTTTTAAATTAACTTTATCACTTATTTCAAAACATAAATCATCGGCAAAAAAAACAAAAATAAATGGAAATAAAACCTTTGAACTGTGAACACAACTGTAGATATGAACTGTCATCCTAATGTAGATTTATACACAAAGTTCGTTGAATTATGGGAAATTGAAAGTTTTGTTTATATTGTTTCGTCGAAATATTAATTTTTTTTAATGACTAGCTAACATTTAACAAGCTACAAAGCAAAAAAAATCCATCTTTACATCTTAGATACGTGATCGTAGCTAATGACTTAGTAAAATAAAACTGACCACCTAATTATAGATTTCTACATAAGTGCCATCAAATTAGGGAAAACTGTCTATTCTACTTTACACAATTTGAAGGAAAATGTATGAAGTTACAGAGAAATATTCAAAATACAAAGTAACAGTAAAAATGTTTTTAAAATCTCAATTTCATACACTCTATAATTGTATGATGCAAGATAGCGAACTAATTGATTTATAAGACTAGTGTCTAATTATTATAATTGTTTTTTCTGTTTAGTAATACATTGAAACCGTTTTTCACGTGTTTTTTTGAGTCATGAGGCACGAAAGTATAGGGAATACACCAAACAAATCCCTTATAATTGGGTCCAACAACTTATTTTTCTGTAATCATAACATGAGGAAAATGAGAACTGATCGTCGGCTGTCGTTGAATACAAAAAAATGCAATAAGGACAAATTTTATTTTTACCACGATTTTTTGTCACATTAAAAAAATTAGTCTATACTACTGTTTACTTCAATGCGGTTTTTATATCAATTGAAAAGAACCTAACTACTAATTTATTTCTCATGTCAAGAAGCTTTACTTTTCAGTCTGCTTGACCAATTTAAGCATACACCAATTTAATAAAATCGTATTTCATAATTTGCGGTTATTCTATTTTAATCTTGGTAAAAAAATTGTATGAAAAATGAGAAAAAAGAATTGGTTGGCTAAAATCTGTCGTTCAAAAAAAAAAATAATTATATAATTTTGAACATCGGACAGATGTTACTTCCGTAGGTTTCTTGTTAGAAAAGTACGTTTTGTTCGGTTTCTTTTGGACTACTTGACTTTTTTACTTACCACAAAGAAAATTTGGTTTTGATAATTGTTTTATCCAAACAAAAACAGTTTTAATTATAATTAGCTTTCAAATTATAAATGCAAATTGTAATTAAATCTGCACACACACAGCCAACAGCCAATTTAACCACGTTGATTAATTGCACCTCACTTTTTTAAATCTGCTTTCAGTTCAATCGAAAATTAATATTTAGATTTCCTAAAAAATGAATTTCTCCTTGAATATTTTTTAACTAGTTTTTGTTACCTCAGTACTTATCGTAGGGGCACTACTACCAACCACCTAGAAGTGTTACCGTACATATTTTGTTAAGAAAAATATAAATCTTAAAATCTTGGATGCTTTCAGTTCAAGCGAAAATTAATATTCAGACTAACTGAAAAAATGAATTTCTCCTTGAATATTTAAACCAGTTTTGTTACCTCAGTACTTATCGTAAGGGCACTACTACCAACCACCTAGAAGTGTTATGTACATATTTTATTAAGAAAAATATAAAACTAATGACTAGAATTCACACAATAGGCATATTGAATAAATTGTTAATTTGACCCAGAAAAATGGCTAAACGTGAATTCAAAGCGTTAAATCATGTGAATGACGACGATGGATGCAGATGGAATTTATATAATCGCGGCGATTTGACGTACTAAAAATTTTGAGGCGTTGAATTTCACACACATGAAAAAATGCTAAAAATACATGTTTAGTCAAGAGAGCATTAGAAAAAAAACAAAGCAAATACTTCCTTGTGCATTTTGGCAATATTTTGCTTTTATAAACATTGTTAGTTTTAACTAATTATGTGCACAATTTTTTTTCCAACCATGCAGATACTTTGTATTTTGTAAGAATACTTTAAAAATCCACTAACCTGAGTCGTCAACCTAGAGATTGCTTCCTATTGGCCTAATTAAGAGAAAAGAAGTTTGGGAAAAGAACACGTACGCTTTGTTTTATCAAAAACTTGATGTACTTTTGTAAAAACTATGTTTATTCATTCAATTGTAAAACTTCATTACACAAATAGTTATCCTAATAAAAATTTAAAAAATTCAATAATATATAACCGGTAGTTTTATTAGAAAATTTTTTGATATATGCAACTGTTACTGGTGCAACCAGTAGGAAAGGAATACATTGATAAGATGAAAAATTCAGCCTGAGCCTAATAAAAATTAAATAATTCAACAAAATATATATATAAAACCGGTAGTTTTATTAGAAAAATTTTGATATATGTAACTGTTACTGGTACAGATCAGTAGAAAAGGAATACATAAGATAAGAATTCAGCCTATACATATGTATCCTATTTTCACCGGTGGATAATAGGAAAACCAAAGCTATAAACCATAAGCTTTTAAGCCTTAAATTTATTATGCCTTAAAAGAAACAATCAAAGGAATAATATATACTAGAAAGAAATATGTAATAGTGTTTTCTCCCTACATACAGTAATTTGTTGATATAATTTAGTTTTTCTTTAAATGACGATTTATTACGATGGACAAATGATATCTATAAAACTATAAAAACAACTAAAATTATGATTTTTTTATAGGTTTACACCATCATTTAAACTCGTGTTATTCTGTACAGATAAAAATCAAAATCCGTCGTAGTTAATAGAATCAATAAAAATGTCCTAAGAATTACAAACATGCTTTCCGCAGAAAAAAATATAATTTATAAACAAAAACAGTAAATACATTCCAATCTAAAGAGAATACATACGTCGCTGTTTCTATAAATAGAATTGTTCATTCCAGCATTAAATAAAAAATAAACAAAAACAGGTATACAATTTTTTTCTTTTCATTATTAACAACGAAGACTTGTTCTGAGTATATGTATATTATAAATTGAAGTCCTTAATTGTTCTAAGTTTTAGATAAATATCACACAATCACAATCCAGAGGTCAGAGAGAAATCGGGACCCCGAGAACTAGCCGAAGAAGTGTGACGAAAGACAAAAGCCACATTTTTTTCTAGAGCGGCTTGAGACAAAAGCCGTGAGAGAATTGATGAATCTGATCGAAACACTCCTTCACCAGAATAAGAAGGGTAGAATCTAAATAAAACGAATAATACGTAACAAAAACGTTATGGCACAAGTGAAATTATTTAAAGAACAAATGTAAGTATAATAAAATTATGCCTAATTATTTGCCAAATTGAACAAAAAGTTGGCATATAATTAAACGTAAAAGTACACGAATAACAAAGGCCTATTTTGTCATTTTCAGCCTTTTTTTTGTCGAGGCATTCGTAAAACAAAATAGGCAGGTAATTTTTTAAGCTGAAAGGCAATAAGTTTATTAGGTTGAAATAATTTGGGTGATACCTTGTGTTTTTGTGCGATGCGTTGGCAGTTCCCTTCCCAATCCAACTCGACCAGCTATGCCCAAAAAGACAAGACAAGTGACGTTCAAGAAAGAAAACCCCGACGACCAATAGATAAATTAATTTTTATAGGACAAGAAATCTCGTCTTCTGGAACCGTCTAATTTAAAGTTGCTTCGCCGAATATTTTTCATTGGGGAAATACGTAAGAAATAACACCATCCTTCTGCGATTTTTAAGACTAAATAAACCTTCTCACATCTTAATTTTCAAAACAAAATACTGAAAATTGAGAACAAATTTAAGATAAAAACATGTTGGTTAAAATAAGATTCTGTAAACAGGCAAACTTACATTTTCGTTTTAAGATTGGTGGCTCCATATGAAATCAACTTTCAGTAGACCCATACATTTTGATTAATTTTACATTACTCCATAAAGTTGGGATTTTTAGAAGGTCGCTCTCCATATTAAATCAACTTTCAGTAGTCCCATACATTTTGATTAATTTGACATTACTTCATCATAATGTTGGGATTTGTAAAAAAAGTAAATTTGCTTTTGATATTCTTAATGCTTTTTATTTCATACAGCTGAAAACGGGCTCTAAATATTGGTCAAAAGAAACAATACGACTTGCCAGTTTTTTCCAACAGTGCAGAGATTTTAGCATTTGCTTCAGTTTTCTTGTTAGTGCTCCCCGCCTAGGGCAGCAGAAAAATTTCGACTGCAACTCAATTTTGAACAGGCAAGAATTGTTTTTGCTTCGTTTTTTTCCTTGAAAGTACTTCGCCCAGGGCAGCAGAAAAAAATTCCTCGACTGTAGTTTGACTAAAAATTAAATTTTGAACAAGAAAGAATTGTTCCCACGAACTGAATTAATTGCACATATTTAATTTTGTTCCATTCACACAAACCAATAAGCCATTTTACAGTCCAAACTTTTTGTGAAACTAAATTCCTCTTCTTTTATTTTGCACAATCTCTGGCCTGAAAATTTTTAACATTTTCTTGAAACTTCACTGCACAAATCCACTTTTTTTCATTTATACTCTCCAAATTCTCAAGTTAGCCACCAAAAAGCAAACCGATTCTTTTGGCAGAATGACTGATAATTTAGATCAAATGCTTTTTTTAATCCAGTGTAACAAGTCTTACTTTTTCATTACTCTTCCCAAATTTTACGGTGTTTGACCTAAGTGATAAGTTTTTAGACATTTTTTAACGTTTTCTCGCATCTTTTGCTTCTGGTATTCGCTGAAAATTAAATTTGTATAAGCAATGTTTTTCCTAAGTAACTGAATATCACTTTAGAGTTCCCCGTTTTTTTTACACTTCTGGATCACTTCCGTAAAAATTTATTCAGGGGTTGACTAATAAGTTGATACTTAAAAATCCCAGAAAGTAATTTTTGTTTTTGACAGGAACGACTTGTATTTTGCTTCTAGTTTGGCTGAAAATTTAAATGTGTGCAAGCACAATTTTTCTCTATCGGAATACTGGATTATATCGCAGGTTTCCTGCTTCATGTTATCTCTACAATTTTAGAACGATCAATTGTGAATCTGCCCTTGGGTTGACTGAAATTGTTATGAGCCGAACACTGCACAGCGACATTGAAAAAGTATTGAGAAATATATTTTTCCCCCTTGTGGAACTCCTCGATCCATTTCTCAGGGTCTACTGAAAATGACATTAACAAGCAAAAAAACTTGTACTACTGATGTAATCCAACCTCTTGTCAGAAGTAAATTTTTCCATCCACAATTGTATTTGCCAAACGGTGGGCCGAACTCTGTAGAACATCTCGGGAGAAGACTAAACTGTAGAACGGTGTGCAGGCAGTGTGCGCGTCCCAGGATCACACGGCAGGGAGGGTTGAATCTCGAACGGGCCGCATAAAAAACCGGTCAGGGTCGTCTCGGCCATCCACAGGGAGGAAAACCACAGTAACGAGTGGCAGACGCCATCCACGGCCTAAATCCCTAAGACGCCAGCCTCCTACGATGTTGGAAGAGAGAAAAACACCCGGCGAGTTGCATAGTCAGTTCTACCCCCGATAGCTAAACGAACGCCTGCTCCTATGATGCTGAGGCCTAGATTCCGCAAACGGTTTGGGGACTGCGCACCGTCTCCTACAGAGATGCTGAGGGGTCCAACAGCTTTACAAAACCTGCAGTTTTACCAAGGCCAGAGAATTATAGAGCCAGTCTTTCCTTCTGCAGTTCTGAAAACTTTCGTTAGAAACTCCCTCCGAAGGGAGGCAAAATATTTAACGAAAACCTTTCAAAAATGAATTACTTACGAAACTAGTTTTACATTTAGTTTGAATTGAATTTATTAACAAGTCTGATGTAGGTAAAATCCTTAGCTTGGAGACATTTAATGAACATTTTGGCCATGAACTGGGTCACTTCTGCATTCTGAAAATTGAGTTAAAACTCCCTCCCGCCAGGAGACAATTCCAGGACGACCAATTCTTAAACAATGTTTTAACGGAAAAACTACCTTCCCTTTTTTCTGATTAGCGGTCCTTATTCTATAGAACATTTCGTACTTTGTGCTTTCTGGTAGAATTTTACGGGTTTTTGTACTTCTTCCAAAACTGTTGCAACTCTGAAAATTTCTGTTATCCCCCTTTTCAGGGGAGGGAGGGGACGACATCTTAAATTTCAGAAATCAAGGGTACTTACAAAATTTATAAAAATTACAGGACAGCTTAAGCTTGGAGCCATTCGTTGATAAGCTAGGTCGGACTCCATTCTGAAAATCTCAATTAAAAATCCCTCAAACGGGGAAAAGACCATACACTCCGAAGAGAAACCAATACTGAACTAATCAAGACTAAAAATTTCAGGTAATGTCTACCTTGATAAGATTGCAGTCCTCAAAACAATTTCGCTTTTGTCCGCATTCTTCCAAAAATGTTGGCAACTGAAAATATTTGTTAACCCCTTACGGGGGAGGGACATGTTCTAAAAATTTTAAAAATAATTTGGTACTTACAATTCTTTAATTATTGACAGGGACACATGGTTGAAATAGAAAAAGCATCCAAACTTTTTGAAATAAGACGCCAACTCTGAAAATTCTTGTTAGCTTCCCCTTTTTTACAAGGGTACTGAGAGGACAGCATTTAAAAAAAATACGGCTCTTGGAAATTCAGCCGAAAAATCTACAATTTTGCAAAAACTAAGCCACAATAATTTGTGTACCTGATTTTTAACCGCGGTAGCCATCTCAGACCTGGGACGTACTCATTTTACGCTTCTTTTTATACTACTTTCTGAAAATAACTTCTTTAATTTCTGGGGAGGGGGAATCAGATCAGAAGCAGGACATCAATATGAAATATTTTTTAAAAATTATAAGCGTTACTAATTTTTAGATGCAGCATTTTCATTAATCTTCGTTCATTATTGTCTAACGTAAAATTTAAAAAGCACTTGCAAAGACCTGGAAGACCACGGACCGGCTTGTACCTAAGTCTGACCTTCCTGCCTCTCGAAAGCCGCCACTGTACAAAACTGAACTGGAAAAAATATTTTTAAGGACAAGAATTCGCATATGAATGCGAATAAATACAAAATTTTTAAACTTTACTGCATAAATTCTACCCAATTTTACAACACTTTAATATGTAGTCTGGTCTGCTGCCTCAATATTTTTTTTATTAAGTAGTTTTGTCTGGTCTGCTGCCTCAATTTTTTTAAAACCTATCGCTGAAAAATAAATATCCTCTTTTTTCGGGCAAATTTTCTATCCAAATTATTTCATTCAAAATCATTTCTTTTAACATTTTAGGTACATGGATCTAGTATTATTGTAAGCCATAATTTACGAAATATATTTCTAGATTACAACCAGCTGGCAACTGAAAAATATTTAAATTAAACCCCAAGCCCCCCTAAAGTTTTCTTTGTAAATTTACTTATCTTGCAGGGGAAGTTTCATCTTTATACAAAATTAAATTTCTATAATTTGTTATGAGTAAAAAATAATTTTTAAGATCCTCAGTCAGTCAGTTCTTTTTCATTTGCATATGCTGTTGACCCCTAAACTAAATATTCTGAAAAAATAACATTAAAAACAGGCCCCTCAGAAACGAGGGTATATAAAATTTATACGAAAGTAGTAATAAGCATGGATTAGTTATTACTTATCTGGGATTAATTTTGGGGCTAAGTTAACTTATTTAGATACTTTCTTCGTACAAAGGAAATTTTATCAACCTCATCCATTTATCTTCCATTATTTTAGTTCTTCTCTTTAATGTGTTTTCTTTCGTTTTTGTTTGTTAAGAAATTGTTATTGAAATTCTTTTCCTATTTTTTTCTTAATGTTTTTGAGTTGAGGTTGGTGCAAATAAAACAACCAAAAAACATCTGGTTTACTAACGGGAAGCGTACATGAGCAGAAAAAATACTTCAGGCATATTTCAAATTAAAAACTGAGTATTCAAAACTCATTTTCAACACTTCGTTCATTTAAAAAGAATAAGTTCTACTGAAATACTTCTGGGACGCCGTAGTTGAGAAAATCCAGTCTCGGTTTTTAAAAAGCCGCAAGGGTTTTATTGCCGTCGCATCGACCTCTAAAGATGCCGCATAGGGTTGTCCATCGCACAATTTTTTAAACGCGTAAACCTAATTCGTTGACCTTGAGCCAAGGTTAATGCGTCACAATAGAAAAAGAACATACATTTTTCATATTTGTCATAAGAAATTAAAAATTGGTGTACCACACAACAGAAGGGGATAGGGGCTTCACGCCACACAATTCTGGTCACACTCCATCCGGTTCACAATACGACCCCTGTGTAAGGACCAAAATTGTATGAGGCACACATTAAACAAATATTTACATTATAAAAACCATTAAAACATACATAATATTAGAGGTGAGCATAATAGAAAAAATATAAGGCAAAACCATCTGAAAGTAAAACGATTGTTAATCACGAGAGCCGCCGACAAGTGAACACTTAGTAGTTTTTAGATCAGGTAAATTCCCGATTCTTCTTACCCTTGAATAATTTAATAAAAATCTTAAATAATAAATAATTGTTAATAAAAAGAAAGTCATTGTGACCTTCGTTACTTCGCCATTATGGCGAACTCCCCCCCCTCCAATAACTCGGGAAGTATTGATTTAGATCCTACATAACTATTAAACAGTATAATAAGCTGAAAATAATAAAAACAAGAAATAAAATTAGACTGCACATCCCTAATAAAGTAGTTTTTAGATCAGTTAAAAATTCAACTTAAATTCTCGATTCTTCTTACCCTTGAATAATTTAATAAAAATCTTAAATAATAAATAATTGTTAACAAAAAGAAAGTCAATGTGACCTCGTTACTTCGCCATTATGGCGAAGAGGTATTGATTTTCTCTTATCTTTTCTCTTTTGAAGAAAAGATCCTACATAACTGTTGAACAGTATATAAATAAGCTGAAAATAATAAAAACAAGAAATAAAATTAGACTGCACATCCCTAATAAAGATGGCGGTAGTAGGCCTGTAGTAAGAACGTACAAACATCAATAATAAATAAGAATAAATGAATCAGCAAAAACTACAAATATAATTCATGATAATGTTTTTACAATGGCCAGTCTGAATCCTGCATTAGACAAAAACTGTATTCAGTAAATTCAGTATGAGTAAATAAAACAGTAAGAAATGATTAAACAAAAAGTCACTGCGCATTAAAAATGCTAAGATGGCGGATTGAACTGAAAACTAAAATCCATACTATTTCCTTCCTATCAAACCAAAAAATTATCAAAATTAATCATTATTGACAAATATTAGAATAATTCAAGTTGGCAAGCAATAATAATTATAACGAATGATTGCGCGTAGACGACATGGTGGACCTGAAAATCCTACAATCACTACATTCAGGTTAAATAAATTTTAAAATAATTTCTCCTATCATAAAGAGAACAAGTTAACAAAAATCGTCAAATAAGTTACAAATAAAGTCTAAAAGATAAAAAGAGTCGGGGGGACTTGGCTCATTTTGAATCCCTACCTATTGGGTCAAATCATGTAAATGAACGCTTTCTTTCCCTTTAAAATTATAAATTAACAAAACAGCAAAGTTTTTAATAACAATAGTAAAATAAGGTATGACCTAAAAAAGAAGTCAGGGCTACTGCGCAACGTCACAAAAAAAAATGGCCGTCGTACATACACGGACTTTCTCTTCGAAATCCTACCTAGAAAGTCAAATCTAAGTAAAATAACCAATTTCTTTCAATCTAAAATTATAAATTTAATAAAAATTTAGTTTTTATTAACAATAATCGTAAAATGACCTAAGATAAAGTCAGAGCTTATGTGCACGTTAGGTAAAATGGCCGCCGTACAAGCAGGAACTTTTTAACTATTGCGTAACCATTTTCATGAACTTTATGTAAAGGAAAAACTTATAGTTTTCCCAAAAACTCAAATTTAAAGCAAACAGTCTAGTTTATAACAATCGTAAAATAGGTACTAAATAATACAAACGGCCTAAAAAGAAATTCAGGATGGTTTGCCACGTCAGACAAAATGTCCGCCGTACAAGTAGGAACTTTCCAACTATTGCGTAACAATTGTAAAGAACATTTTATACTTGGAAAAACAAATTTGTATTCCTAAAAACAAATACATTAGGAAAACAGCCTAGTTTATGAACAATCGTACAATAAGTAATATGGCCTTAAAAATAAATTAAGGTGTTAGCCACGTCAAACAAAATGGCCGTCGAACAAGCACGAAAATTCTATTAACAATCTGTAAGAACGTATATAAAGGATAAACCTATTAAAATTGTGTTTGTTTGCATTAACCGTTTAGAAAAGTTCTTCAAATTGTTAAGTAATAAAAAATAATTATAAAAAAATAATAAAGTATAGAGCCTTACAAGATGGCGTCGACCTTTGTGTCGAAGTAATTCTCATTTTATTTTGTTTTTTTTAAGTAAAAACCTTGTTAATTTCGCATTATTTTGTGGTAGTTATATCTAAGCATTATTCTGTAAAATAATTTTATTATTAATAAATGTAGTATTAGGGCTGGATCTAGCGGAAAATAAGATGCGTCGGTATTGCGCCATATTGAGTTAAGAACTGACCTAAACCCTCTGTAAAATTTTAAATTTAATCTACGTAAAAGTTTTAAATAGCTGTTCTATAAATAAAAGGATAGTAACTACATAAAAACCTTAAGCCTTAAAATATAAACCTTTTTCTCTATGCTCTCCTCGTAACATTACATTAATGATTAATAAAATGTTTTTTTAAACGCTTTTTAACAGTTGGTAGAATTTGTTTAAAAAACTTACGGTTCAAGTGATTCCAGGGTGTCGGAGATGGAAATCGCTGAGAACAAGAAATGACCTCATTTTCTCCTAGAGTCTAATGCGTCTAGCAGTGCAGCCTGGCCCAGCTCTCCAGCAGGAATGACGTCTCGGCTCGGGCCGTCCCTTTTATACCCTGGGGGTGGTGGGGGTCGAGAAACGTTCTAGAACTTTCTAGGCTCTAGACGAAATTTTCAATCCGAAGTCGGGATTTTTCTTTTAAAACTTTTTAATCCCGATTAGAAATAGTTTTGATCAAAAATCCTGACTCCAGCGAGCGGATTAATAAAGAAAAATACGTTTTTACCAATCGAAGGTTCAGTTTCAAGCGACGGCCGCTAGAACTTCTCCCACGACGTCACGACGCAACTGGCCCAGACCGTTTATTGATTTTCTCCTTTTCCAACTGAATGTTCAATTTATTCATTTGTTTTAATTAAAAACTGACAAAAGAGTAAATAAAAGTGTATAAAAAGTTTTTAAAAATGACTAGGATTATATTATAAAAATTCAAATCTACAAAAACATGAATAGAAATAAGTCGGAAACTCAAAAAAGAGTCGATCTGTGACGAAAACTTCAAACAAATTTATTACTTTAAAAGAAACAAATCAAGGCAAAACAAAATTAGAATAATTAAAACACATGTTGTAAATTGATTAAGATCAAAATTACATCCAAACAGTTTCAAATACGCAAAATATTTTTTTTTCTAAATTCTCTTTGAAATACTGCAAATACCAGGGTTTTTTTATATGGCCGAAACGGATCAGGTCCAATTAGACCGTGGAGCCTTAATTTCGTTGTTATTTTTTCCTTTGAAATAGATCAGGAAATGGCCCGATTTCGTTGTTTTGGTTTTTTTAGAATTAGAATTATAAAAGAAAAAGGAAATCTGGGTCTGTACAGGGAGCTGTAGTGAGTCGGATGTGTGACGAACCTTGGTTTCGAACACCAAAGGTTAACCTTGATACCGTCCTTAAAACTCGTAGGAAAACAAACGTAATTTTTTTTTGCCAAAACGCAGTGGAAAACATTTTACTGGAATTTCCCCGTGGATTTCCGTCTAAGGAAATTTTCGGGTTTGGTTTGGAGAAAGGCTAGGAAAAACAGAACGTAGGTGGAAGTGTGTTACTAAAGACAACGGAATTAAAAAAACCTACAATTTTTTTTCTATGAATTTAACAAAGAATGATTTATAATAAAACCATTTAGTTGAAGAAAAATGCGAATATTGAGTTCAAATAACAGAGGATAAAGACTACACTCCATAGAAATAACAATAAAACCTAAATTGATCGTTACTGATATAGAAAAACACAAAGATAAACCTATAATCAATTTTTTTCCTGTAATTTTCTCAAGGATTTTGTTGTAACAGCTTTTGTTAAAAAAGAAAGAAATATTGGGTTTAAATAGCAAAGAATAAAGGTCATATACATCTTAGAAATAACAACAGAACTAAAATTGATCGTTACTGATATGGAACAACACAAAGATAAACCTATAATCAATTTTTTTTTTGTCATTTTATCAAGGATTTTTGTAGCAGTGTTAGTTATAAAAAAAATGCGAATATTGGGTTCAAATACCAAAGGATAAAGGCCAAACTCCTTAGAAATAATAACAAAACCTAAATCAATCGTTACTGATATAAAAAAACAAAGATTTATTTTTTCTGTAATTTTCTCAAGGATTTTGTTGTAACAGGTTTAGTTTAAAAAAAGCAAATATTGCGTTTAAATATCAAAGAATAAAGGCCATACACATCTTAGAAATAACAACAAAGCCTAAATTGGTCGTTACTGATAAACAAAAACTCAAAGATAAACCTAATGATCAATTTTTCCTATAATTTTCTAAGGAATTCTGTTGTAGTGTCTTTAGTTTAAAAAAGAAATGCGAATATTGGGTTCAAATACCAAAGGATTAGGGCCATACACTCTATAGAAATAACAACAAAACCTAAATTGATCTTTACTGAAATAGAACAACACAAAAATAAACCTATAATCAATTCTTTTGTGTAATTTTGCATAAAACATGGGAATATTGGGTTCAAATAACAAAGGATAAAGACCATACACTCCTTACAAATAGCAACTAAGCCTAAATCAATCCTAAATGGCCAATATGCTAGACCATAAGGCCAAAAAAAAACCTAAATCAATCGATATTGATAAAGAACAACACCAATATAAACCCATGATCAATATTTTTCTGTAATTTTCTCGAAGATTTTGTTGTAACTGCTTTAGTTAAAAAAAGCAAATATTGCGTTTAAATGCCAAAGAATAAAGGCCATACACATCTTAAAAATAACAACAAAGCCTAAATTGATCTTTACTGATATAGAACAACCCAAAGGATCAATAGGATCAATTTTTTCTCTAATTTTCACAAGGATTTGTTTTTTTAGCAACTTTAGTTTAAAAAAAATGGGAATCATCAAAACCTAAAACAATCATTACTGATATGGAACAACTCAAAGATAAACCTATGATAAAATTTTATTTTTTAGATAAGCGTATGATCATTTTTTTTATCATTTTCTCAAGGGTATTGTAGCGGCTTTAGTTTAAAAAAATATATATACATATATATTTTTCTCTCTTTCTAAAAAGAGTTTCTTTAAATTAGGGGTAGTCCAATAGAAACGTAGTTTTTTTTACAACAATAACTTAAATTAAAAAAAATGAGAAAATTGGGTTAAAATACCAAAGGATAATGGCCATACAGTCCGTAGAAGTTATTATTAAACCTAAATCTATCGTTACTGATATAAAACAACAAAGAAACGCCTATAATCAAATATTTTGTCGGAATTTTCCGTAGGATTATGACATACGAGTTTTATCTGGATAACGGTCAATATTGGATTCAAATACCAAAGGATAAAGGCAATATAGTCTTTAGAAATCATAATAAAACCTAAGCATGTTGTCAGTTTTGTAAAACGCCATGAAGAAAAGCTTGAAAGCAAATATTTTCTTGGGATTTTCCATAGAATTTTGATCTACAGGATAAAGAGTGAACGGGGGGGGGGGTTCAAATACCAAAAGAAAATGGCGATACAGTCAGTGTCATTATAAAACCTAAATCTATAAAATAATATGATATAAAACAATAAAATAAAAGTTTATAATCAAGCATGTTGGAATTTTCCCAAGGATTTTATTTTACAAGGTTTAGTTGGTGAAAAAAGGGCTTGCTTTAGGTTCAAGTACCAAAGTATAAAGGCAAAGTCCCTTTTGTCTCTTTACCGTTATGTATTGTTGAAAAGGGCCTTTTGTCAATAGAGATCGTTTATGGCCCTTTCAGATTTTTAAGTTTCACAGACCTCCCTACTCTCAGGCAAAATTTAAAAGGTTGACAACTTCAAAAACCGATGTTGCAAACATTTAAAACTCAATGGTTTAGCAATAAATTTGCAATATATGCTGGAATTTATTGCGCAGTTTTTGTTTATATTTTATCTCGATAAAAAAAATTCCTCTGTTTACCAAAGATAATGGGGGACTAATCTATTTCAACACTTGTATTCTTCGACCATTAGGTTTTTAAAATTTTATTTTTATCCATTGAAAAATTGGACCATATTTTGATTGCTTATATTTCCAATTAATAATTGAGATTAGATAACTGCTACAGAATTGTTAGATATGTTCTTAAGGTCTTCGGAAGTGAAGAACATGAAGTTTGGTCGTTTCCGGCCAACCGGGTCCTCTTTTCCTCGGTGTTATGGCGATGAAATATAGTTAATTCGGCAAATGGCCATATTAAGTTGATTCTTTGCGTAAATATCAAGCCGCAATTCCCTAATATCACGTGTATAACGATCTGAAACCACCTCAATCATCACTAACCTCATTAACCATCCCAAACCAATCAATATTAAGATCCTTAATTATCTCACATAATCTTGAAATGTGGTGGCCATCGTAAATCATCACTAACCTCCTTAACCATCTCAACCTATTGTGAAATCTGGTATAACACTATTATTAACTATCTTTAGCCAACACTGATCATCTCTAGCTACCCTTAACCATAATTATCTAATATCTAGTGTATAACAATCTAAAAACCATCATCACTCATCAATAAACCATCTCAAATTATTGTAAAATCTCGTGTCACCACTAGCCAAAATTCGTCTAGCCGACGCGAGCTCAAATTATCATGTATCTGATGTGAAACCATCCCATACAACCATAAATCAGCACTAACCATCTTCAACCATCCCAAATCATCATCAATCATCACAAACCTCCTTAACCATATCAAACTTGTCTGAATCTTGTGTGAAACCATACCATACCAACATAAATCATCAGTGACCATTCTAAACTACCATCAATCATCATTAACCTCCTTAGCCATCTCAGCCTATTGTGAAACTAATATTGACTATCTTTAACCAACACTTATCGTCCCTAGCTACTCTCAACCATAATTACACAATATCTGGTGTATAACACTCTAAAAACCATCATCAATCATCAATAAACCATCTCAAATTACTGTAAAATCTCGTGTGAAACCATAATTATCATCACTAGCCAAAATTCAACTAGCCGACGCCAGCTCTATCTTGTAAATGATGTGAAACCATCCCATACAATCATAAATCATCACTAACCATCTTTAACCATACCAAACCATCGTCAAATCTAGTTTAAAACTAACAATAACCACATCTAGCCCCCATAATCAATATAATCTAATATATGGTATGTAACTTTCTAAAAACTATCATCACTCATCACTAAACTATATCAAATTATCGTCTCTTGTCGACCCTAGGTCAAATTATCAATAAAATATCGTGAAATTTGGTGTGAAATCATTCCCAACCTATCTTAATAACCATTTTTTAAATATTAAATTGATAATTTGTTGTATTCGCGAGAAGCGGTCAAGAAAGAGATAGTTTAGTCATCTTCTGGGCATATATTGAGGCGCTATTCTTGTGGTGTCATATTGGTGTTGTGTGAAATTGTTTTGAATCATTAATTGTTGTGTTAATTTCACACAACACCAATATGACACAAGAATAGCACCCTACTGTATGCTCTGAAGATGACCCGAATAAAAGTCGAAACGTCCGCAAAAAACGAAAAAGGTGTTTTTCTCGTTCTTTACCGCTCCCTAAACGAAACTATCGTGTACCTGGCTAACCCACCACTGAAGATGCCGAAATCTACCAGACAAAAAATCGGGCTATTTCAAACAAAGATCAAACTAAAACTTTCAGTTTATCGTTTTATAAGATCTTAAATCGTTCAAATAGGGAAACGATCAAAAATATTTGCCTCCTCCACTAAACATACAATGGGATTTGGGGAAAACACAAGTCCATATATTTACATATTTATTTTAGAAATGGTTTGAGGTGGGCTATGTCGTCACTTTTTCTAAAAGATACTTCTACTCATAGAAATACTTCAGTGAGTAGAAAGAACTATGTATTTTTAATGTTCAATTCTCCAGGTTTACACGGAACGAAAGCCTTAAAAGGCCAGGATTGCAATTTCAAAGGGGGCGAAAGATGGAGAGGAACTTTAGAACCGGCAACGTCGCCCTGTTTACCGACCTAGAACCCCAACTACGCCGTTGTAAAGGGGGGGACAGCTGCCCAAAAATAACCGTCTACACAAAGAAATAAATATAAATCTTTCGTCCTTTCCCATGGGAAATTGCTAGAATTATTCCAGTTCAGCAGTCCCTCCTCTTATTACATAACTGCAGGAATATCAATTATTTTATACGTCTGCACTAATGGGAAAAAAGGCAGACAATGTATATATTTTATATGCGGTATATATTGATTCCTCCAATCAGAATAGTAGTCATCATCACGTCCTTGTTGCGCAACTTGTTGGCTGATGAATAATATGAATGAATCATCAATCAACCAGTGATGATTCATCATTTCTTTCTCTTTCCATAACTATATTTAATCTTTTTCGTCTCTCTCTCACTCTCTCTCTCTCTCTCTCTCTCTATCTCTCTCTCTCTCTCTCTCTTCTCTCCCATCTGTTATTTTTTTATACATCTCTCTCATTTTTTTCACTTTATCTGTTTCATTTTCTTTCACTTTCTTTGTTTGTGTTTACATGTAAGTCTATTATCTCTCTGTCTCACCATATTTCTTTCTATTGAGAGGTTGAGATGGGAAGTTAGTGTCCGAGTGGATCGAGGTCACGATAGCTCAAGTGGTAGAGCAGCGGCCTATGTAGCTGAAGATCGTGGGTTCGAATCCTGCTCGTGCCATTGACTTTTTTATCTCAACTAAAAACCTTAATTAATTGTAATATATTAATTGGTCAAGCGGACCACGAAATTAGTNCTTTCTCTCTCTCTTTAAAAATACTTTTTAATTTTCATTCCTTAAGTTTTAGTGTACGATCGTCTCATAGAAAAGTAATTTAATTTTAAAATATTACAAAAGGCAAGGACGCTTAACATATGCCACGGAAAATATCAAAATGTATGACTTCTATCTTTATTTTGTTTTAAAGCTTCTTAAAGTGATATCATCTCATGGAAAATTGCATGTTTCGTCACATTGAGTTCGTTCTCTCTTTCGAGTGGAGATAATATTTCCAGAGTGGAGATATATTATTTAATATTATTTTTTCCGGGGGATAAAATAGTTGATAAACGTTGAAAAATATCTATAAATAAGGGGCAATACTATAAATATCTTTCAATTCAACCCGGATAAGCACCCTCACTTCCCTTGTTTCGCAATTCCTATGACTCACCTTGAGTTTCGCGATATTACCCCCACAAAAAAGACTATCTGTACTAAAAGTCAAAGAAATGCAGGATTTCAAAATATTGAGCATGTTGTCTAATATTCTGAGATTAAAAGTACCTGAAAGCCTGTATAATAAATATATTTTTTTAGAAATGAAAGCAGGCATTCCGATTCAAAAGTAGTTATTCCTTTGTGTAAAACAAAAATGTATCATAACTTATTTTACCAGAAATCCATAAGACTTTATAATGATTTAAATGAAAATATATGTTTGTCAAGCCACAGTAAATTTAAAAATAGATATAGACTAAGGTTGTTGGACAATTACTAACTAAAGTATCTGTTTATAAATATCAAAACATAATATAATTTAATTTATTAGATATAATGTAATTTAATTTGAATGATTGTACATAATTAATAAGATCGATTGTGATATTTAATTGTGATAGAAAATGGGTATATTTGAATTAGTGAATGAAATGTAATTGAGAATACAGAAAATAAAGCCAATGATATTATTAATAATGTATATAGAATTAATAACTATTAATAACTTAGGGTATCAACTAGGCGTCTGTGTGTGCTAATAATGAATTGTACTGAATATGTGTAAATCTCGTTAAATGTAAGAGTGGTTTATGTAAACTAAATTTTGCGAGAATAAATAAATCATCTCTCTCTCTCTCTCTCTCTCTCTCTCTCTCTCCCCTCTCCCTTCACCCCTCAACCCCTCCCCCTCTCTCTCTCTTTCTCTCTCTCTCTCCCCATCTCTCTCTCTCCCTCTCTCCCCCTCTCTCTCTTCCTCTCTCTCCCTCTCTCTCTTCCTCTCTCTCTCGCTCTCTCTCTCATGATTTCTATCTCTCACTCACTAACTCTAACCTACTCTAACCTAATAAAAAATTGCACAAAATAAATTTCAACATAATTTTGTTTTTACTAAGATTATTGTCTTTTTTGTTTTTTGTTGGATTCTTACTCTTTTTTTCCCCTTTATTATTATGTTAAATTTTACATCTATTGTTGTTCCTTTTTTTTTATTTTGTCTGAGTTTAGTGTAGATATTTTGCCCAATTTTTTATTTTATTTTGTTGTTCGATATATTTATCGTCTATTTTTTGTGTGTTTTGGTTGATTTTTCTTTCGAATTTCTAGATTAACCCCATTCTCCTTATTTCACACCGTTACCACTTTTTCCCCATTTAGCATAAAATTTCCGCATTCTGGTACGATGTATTATTATTATGTAATTAAATTAATTACATTAATCAATTATGTTAAGTAATTAATGAAAAGGGTATATCGCTAGAAACCTTATTGAACCAATAAATTGTTATGAAATTTGCCAAGCTTTACCGTGAAAGTTGCAATGAGGTTGCAAAATTAGTTTTTTTTTTTCAAATTTTAAATTTACCAGGTTTTGAAAAATTTAGTGTTTTTTTTTTAACCAAAAATTAAGTTGCCTTCTTAAAGGAAATTTAACGCTCTTTTCAATGTTTTTTTTTTTTTTAGATTTCCCCAAAAATGAATAGTTCAAGAGCTACAATATTTAAGTAGATTTGTGGCGAAAAGTATAGATAAGAAAAAAAAAAAATAAATAAAACGTTGAATATCTGCGAAAGGGTTGAGAATCGGACCACGTTTCATATGAATTTTTTTGTTTCATTTGAGGTGTGAAAATCATCGGCAAAGTTTGTGAGAAGAGCAGCCCGACACCCAGTATATATTTCGTGGATTTTATATTATGTAAAAATTTATATATTAATTAATAAAATTGGGTGAACGCGCTGAAATGTTTCTGCTTTATGAAAACGACAGGAATTGATTAGAAATCTTCTTCAGATCTGCTGATCATTTTAGAATAGCAAATAAACTGTGCTATTCCTCTTTGATAGATACATTTAGACATTGTGTTGTGCTGTTTACTTTGAAAAATTAATTCAAGCTTTTTTGAGAGAGGTCAGATTGATATGGATTTAGGCTTAGTTTCCTCTTGTTTGTTTTGGCCTACCGTTGCCTAGGCGTCCGACTATGCTGGACAACAACGACTGTAAACAAATCAACAAACTCTGTCTCTGTACAGTTTTTTAAAAATATTTCAATTGAGTGGAAAAAGAATCTTTGTAAAATGGGCGATCGGAACACTCTCCTTTACGATTCGACGCCCGAAAAACTGGGCCGGAAGAGACAGATTGGAGACAGAAACGTCGAAAAGGTCAAAACGACCGCCTGGGTGAGTTTCTTTCTTCCCTTTCATGTTCAATAAATACTAGGAGCAAAATACTATATACCAAAGGTGACGTCGGTTTTTTTAAATGTTTAAATTAAATTGATATTTATTACCATTTTACAGAGATTCGACCTACACCCGACATGTGCAAGATTGTTAATGTCTCTGTTTCTCTCTCTCTCTCTCTCTCTCTCTCTCTCTCTCTCTCTCTCTCTCTNTCCCTCTCCCTCTCCCTCTCCCTCTCCCTCTCTCTCTCACTCTCTCTCTCTCTTTCTCTCTCAATCACATCTCATTCCTTCGTTTTCCTCAGGAACTCTCCACCCATCTGTGTCTGTGTCTTTTCATAATTATTTGTATCAACACTGTCACTTTTTCTGTCTGTCTGCCTGTCCAGTAATTCCTGACCTTTTACATTCTTACATAAACTGTTTTATTATTCTTTGTTCCTTAACCATTCCCTTTATTTTTGCTATGTATTATTTGTCAAATATGTTTTTTTCTTTATTGCTATGTCATTAATTATTGTTTATGTATAAGACAATATTACTTTTTTATTTGTTAATTTTTATATAATTAATATAATATAAATAAGCTTATAATTAATACTTTATCATGATAAAAATAACTTAAAAAAATTATACTTTAAATGATACTATTAAAATTATAAATTATAATAAATTTAATTTGCAATTTTTAGAATGAGAGTGAAACAGAATTACCTGAGATTCGGAAATACTCGAACCCTTCTGTGAGTGAAGTATCGGAAACAGTTTTCATTGGTGATGTTTCTCCTGTGCACTCATCGCCAGGGCGTTCTGACAAAGAACTTTTAAAGGTTTTTCCCCATATATCTCTTCATTAGGGTTGTGATTAATTGAAAATTGTCAGATCCACAGGCCTACACCGATAAGAGCGATGGTCAGGTCTGGCATTTCAAGTTACCCAACTCCTGAAAAAGTATGTTTTTATTGTTTTTTTCTTCAAGGTGTATATTATGAGCTATGATATATAATATATTTAATTTTGTTTTAAAGAAGAGGGACGAAGCGAGAAAGGATGCAGGAAGCGAGAAGCATAGCGAGATCTCATCCCTTAGGAGCGTAACACCTCACTCGGATTCCCGATCATACAGGGAACGCATAAAAGAAAGAGTAGCAGCGGCCAAAGTACAAATAAATACAGCTTAATGATGTTCAGGATAATTAATAAAAAAATTTCTAGGAAAGGGCTCTAGCTTCGAGTCAAAAAGGGCCTGTACTTCACAGAGGCAAATCACCTTCTGCAAAATCAGACAATGTAAGTAAAAAAAAAGTTGACTGTTTTTTAAAAATAAATGATAAAACATTAATTATAAACACAATTTAATTTTTTCTTCAAGAATATTTTCCTAAAAATCTTTCCTTTCTAGCAGCCTTATAAATTTTAGATTGTTGGCTGAAATTTGCTAATAAATTTGTGGATAATAATTAATGATTTATGTCCTGGTATTTGGTGGACCTTAAAATTTGGAAAAATATTATAATTATTTATTGGTGTGTAAATTAGTTGGATAAGGAAGATGAAGAGGTTGAAGAAGCAATGAGGAAGCACAGGGCGATGAGGACTAGATGGAAAAGTGCCATGACATCAGCCCAGGTTTTGTATTTCTTGCAGAAAATGATCCATTTAATAAATTTTCAATTGTATTTTAACCGTAGGTGGCAAACATCCAGTCGGGTTACGACATGTTCAGCAAGAGCTGGGAAGAACCTACGACGCCTCCCAAAAGCAGGGCCATATCTGAGGAGAAATCAGGAAAAGGTGGATTGAGGAAAATTCAAATGATATTTTTATTTATTATTTTTTAATTTAAGGAGATGAGAGTGAAGACGAGAAGCTTCTTTGCCACGAGGTCCTCGGTTCGCGGGAAGACGACTGGCTTCCACTTTTCAACTACGAACCACCATCTCAGACTGACTTCCAGCAGCTGAAGCAGAAACAAATCGGCATATTTTTCTGCCCTTCAACTTCCCCAGGTATTTTAATTTGAAAAATAAGCCAAATAAATATTGACGTTTTTATTTTTTGCAGTTTGGTAGTTTCTGATTTATCTCCTCTGCCTATCTTCCAAAATTATCGTGATATCTTATAACCATTCCTATCCATCTTTTACCACCATTAACCATTTCTAACAAAACTTAACCTAAACGATCATCTCTAACCTAAACTATCATGGTATCTGGTGTATATCCTTCTTACTGATCCTTAACTATTCTTAACACAAATTTTAATGGTATCTGGTGTTTGTCCAACTAAATATTCATCACCCCACAGACCGCAAGGAGAAATGTCATAATTGTCTTTAATTTGCTTTAGTCCCCATAGAAGAAAAACTGGAGCCAAACATGACGCCGAGGTTTTTAGAGGATGAGGGACTTTATGTCGGTAAAAGTGTGAAAATACCATGGAAAAGGTTGAACAAGATCGAACAGAGGATAATGGCCATGGGCTCCGAAAGGCTCTGGTTTGGTGAAGACGGTGAGCTCAAGGGTACACCCGATCCGCTGGACCACCGTCGTTTTCGGCACAACTTGGAAGACATAGTTGACCCATCTTTAGTCATCTACAAACCAGTAATTCCATCATACATTAAATAAAAATATATTTAATTCTTATTGTTAAAAAATATATTTTTAGGCTGTTGTCGAAAAAAAAGATTCAGTAGGTCTTGACATTTCGAGCGAAACGCCACACATCCTTGAAATCGACTTGGGAAAGATTGAGTTCGAGCACCACCCTCTGTTCAGCGAAGAAGAGACTTTAAGCGCCAAACTTAAATATATGATAAACGCTTTGGACAACATATCATCAGACAGACTCGGAAGAAGATTGCAAGCATTAAGAAACAGCAATAAAGCAGGAGGAGAAGGAGACAAGTGAGTCAATTTATTATTAACATTGGACACGTATAAAAAAACAGAAAAATAATTTTAAAGGAGAAAAATGAAAAAAGAATTAAGAGAAATAAGAACAAGGTGGCTAAATGAGAAAAAGTGTGAAAGAGAGCTTACACAAATGATCCTAGAAACGTGGAGGGATTTGAAATCAATGCGTACCACACAGGGATATCAAGTAACTAATATCAGGCTGATCATCGTGATGAGGGATCAACTCCCGCATGAAAACGAATGGGACCAGCAAGTTGAAATGTAAGAAAATACCAATTTTGAAAGTTTTCATATTAAACAAGTTTCCATTAAAGGTTTGTCCAAGAGATGGAAGAAGAGGCCGAGGAGGAGTATTCTTCCGAGATGGAAAGCTATAATAGAAAAATTGAACAATGGAAGGCACAGTGTGAAGAAGAGGAGACGACAGGCGACGAGTCTGGATCGACAAGGCCTGAAAAACCGAAGAAGATCTCCAGACAGAAGATCAGGAAAAGGGTCGTCAGTGAATTGGCCCTTTCACTGAGGCCTCCTGATGAGCCGATACTCGAATTGAGCTTGGTGTTCGATGACAACGTACCTGTGACTGTAAGCAACAAACAGGAGCAAGAAAGGAGAAACGCTGTGGGTAAATCACAACTCTGGGTCGTGCTCAGGCACAATGATAAAGAGGTGGATCGTGTCAAAGCTTTACAAGAACCAAACTTCGTTTACCAAATTGCCTACAGGTATATTAATGAACATTTTGGTCTTTTTCAACCCATCATGCGTAATCTCTAACAATCCATAACCATCCTTTGCCATCATTAATACTAATAAGTTAATTTTCACGTTTTTGTTTTAAGGTTTGGGCTGAAGTTGACCCAATGGCCTAAGTCTTTAGGTCTACGGTTGATAGATGAAGGACTCTCACCACTTTTTGGAAAGAAGCCTATTGCTGAAATATATATTCCAATTCCTGGAAGGTTGTAATGAAATATATGTATAATTTATATTTTATATTTTATCCTTAACCATCTATAACTATTTTTACCCGACCTTAATCATCTCTAACTATCCCCATCATTATATCTGGTGTAAAAAGTACCTTAATTTAGATGCTATTTATATTTTTCGTTCTATAAAGGATATCCACGGAGGTGGCAGATTGGCAAAACTTTGAATTCAGTTGTGGTCACATAACTGGCGAATTGTCGCACTCAGGTGTCGGAACATCGGTCAAAAAATTGACTTCAGGCACAATCAGTGTGCGGATGGGCTGGGCCGAACCTCTACCAAATATCCTTCCACCTTCAAAGTATTTTTTTTAATACGCTTAATAAAAAAATAATTCATATTTTTATTAATATTACAGATCTCACAAAGACGTGTCCAAGGGGAAGAACAGCGACGTTGAAAAATTAAAAGAGTGGGTCGAGCAGGTCCAACTGGACCCGAACGACCCAACGAACGCTGATCTACTTGAGTACATCAAGTCAAAAGAGGAAAGGATTGACTTTGAAAGGCAGCAACGAGACAGCTCGTGCTTAGATCTATGCACAGACGAGGACATTTCAGAAAATCCAAGGCTCAAACTCCTCACCCTGCGCCAAGCCGGTCAACCTGAATTCCGTTCTATGAGAAAGGTTCCTCTCAATGACCGAGAAATCCCTAAAGACATATTTAAGGTAAAACTCTCTATAAACAAAAAACAAAAATAAAAAATCAATAATTTTATTATTATTATAATATTGAAACCAGATGTATCAAAAAAGGATAGGATTAGTGAAAAAGAAAGGAAAATGTGGATTAGACGATGTCAGGGAAGAGGGAAAAATATTCCTTGATCAGCTTAGGGAAGAAGTGACCAAAGTTTGGAGACAGGAGCACAACAAAACATTCCGTGAAATGGTCCACGAAGAACCTGTGCCTGATTTATGGTAATATATTTCTTCCTGACTATTTGTTGAATTGGTTAGTAATTTATAATGTTAGGACGTTAGGGTTGACATTTATGAAATGGCTACAGCCTAAGAGGCCTCTCAGGCCGAAGAGAAAAGGTCGGAAGAAGCTTCCTGTCAAAAGTCTCGTCGGTCAACAACTTGAAGTGATTATTAAAAAAAAAAAAGGTTCAAACTTTCAGGTTTTACTAATACTGAATGTTTAGATAATGGTGAATATAGGACGAGCTTTTGAAGTCCCTGTTAGGAAAGAGGAGGACAAAACTTCTGAGGACTTTCAAGTAGTGGCTGTCAGGCCTTTTGTAGAAGTTACGTTTCAGGATCAAAGGCGGCGTACGCCGACAGGCGAGGGGCCGAACCCGACTTGGAACCAAGACCTACATATTCCTGTTCAGTAAGAAATGTGCATTTATGGTTATTTAATTTAAACACCATTTAACATGGTTAAAAAGGACAAGATTAAAAATTAGAATATTTCAACAGTTAAAACATTGTGAGATTTGTGTGGTCTGTGAGATAGACTGATCATTGTATTGGTCATTTGGAATTTGTTTTAGTTGCCCTGCTGGAATTCAATCGGTTCAAGACTCTCTACATTTTCACCTTTATGATGAAACACTTGTCGATCTTGTCGAAGATGACAGGCTGAGGGAGACCAACATACACCAAAGAATGGGCCGTTACTGGCTCGGCAGCTTCAGAATACCATTTTCATACCTTTACCAATCGTCCAGGGTATTTACTGAATAAATCAGACGATATTTCTTTACAAAGGAGACAATGATTTTTATTGTGCAGATTGAAGGCACTTTTCAGCTCTACTCTCCTCCAGTTTTACTCGGCTACACCAGGGAATCTAAAGAATTCCGGGACAGCACTTTTCTGTCCATATTCGTCATGGTCCATCCTCCCCTACATCCTCCTGCACCATTCCTTGTAATAAACATTTTAAGTTGATCTATTTATTAAACTATTAAAAATAATTAATTGATCCAGGAAAAATTGGAAACAAAAGAAGAAACTTCTTTGGAAGTTCATCTCGAACAGTGGTTGTTGGAATTGAGTAAAAGTTTTCCGAATAGGAGAGTCGTAACGCTCGTCACAGACACTTCGAGTAAATCTGTATGCATCACAAGATATTTACGACCTATTAAACCTCCAGGTAGGTCCGTTTTAATAAATAATTAAATAATATATTTATGATTTTTTTTGTCAAAGAAATTATAGAGAATGAAGTGACGACGGTCGACATGGCGGCAAGGTTTGTCTCGATGATACCAGTCTCGCACAGCCATCAGCATGTTGTGGCAGGAATGACAGACATCTGGATGACCGCTGATGTATTTTTTTTTTTTAAATAATTTGTTTATTTTATTGTAAAATTTCATTTTTTGTTTTAAAGGAAATTCTTGAGCATTGTGTGACACCGCCTTACTCCCAGGCTACGCTTCTTGCTTGCTACTTGCTCTCGATCGATTCCGACTTGGAAGTCCGCCTCTTGTTTGGAACCGGTGTCCCTGGAGGTTCTTCTGTCTATATAATGACGCTGAGCAGGACGACAAAGGAGATCAAAATCTGGGACCCAAGCACTGGGAAGAAGTACACTCATTCCGACCCTTTTTGCCCGTTAAGCCGTGTCCACGCGATAGTCGACCATACAAACGTCTGTTTACTGTATCACATCTCATAATTAAATAAATTAATTGATTTTTACAATAGATTTGGGTGAATAGCCAAAAGGAAGAGTTGATTTCGCAGATAAACCTCGATGTGAATAAGCGTTATGACTGGTGGCCTGCATTCGGTCGTAGCATTTCAGCGCCGAAAGAGTCAGTACAACCAGAATCTCTGGTCTATTTGAAAACATCCCAAATGGAGGTGCAGAGACTTCAAGACAAACTTGAAAAACTTTTAAGAAACGCTATAATGAAACTGCGACATATGAATAGGTAAAAATATTGCAACTATGCTTTTAGAATTTTACTCAATCATTTTTTTTTAAACTTTCAGAACGATTTGGAACAGGTACGTTCAAAGTTCGCTTAGAAAACTGCTCCCAGAGTTAGAAAAATCAATGTGGACTGGCAACATTGGATCACCTCCTGATCACATACAAGAACTCCAGCATATCACATCATCCTACAAGGTTAAAACAACTAAAAAAAACCCTCCAAAATCTTCAACTTTTTTTAAAATTATAGATGTGTGGTTTTCCGATAAACATGTCCTACACGACACCGACTGCTCTCGTTGAAGCTGTAAAATCAACAGGTGTACATATGAACGACGCTCCAGACATTGAGTTCTCGATGGCTGTGTATATACATCCGTTCCCATCGAATGTACTTTCCATCTGGGTCTATGTAGCCTCCCTAATAAGAAGGCAATAATATTGTAGACATATACATATAAAAGAAAGAATATTGAAATTTTGATATAATTGCACACCTCATCTCACAATTATTTGGGTTAAGGTTGCTTAGATGGTTATGAATGATGGCTCATAATGGGCAGAGATTACTTTATTATTTCACCAATAAATTTAATTATGACTATTTAGAGGCTATTACAATAAATGCTGTAGTACAAGCAGACAGATTGGCCAGAGGACCTCCATGACCATGAAGGTACAGAATGTAATTGGGATAATAAGATCACACATAGTCCTCTATCTCAGAATGGTCCTCACAAAAAGGAGAAATGGACGAACACTAGAGGTGACAGACCCAGTAAACTCATAGTTAAAGAAACCTCACCAAAACTGGCAAACACTTAACTCCAGTTAGACGGCGTGAAACCGAGGGTAGTTACTAGTTGCTGATCTGAGAAAACCGTACACAACGCGATTGTATTCAGCAATGACAACATATGTAAGTTATGCAATGAGAAGGAAGAAATATTATCACTGAATGCAAACTGCTCAATGGAGACATAACCTAGAGTATTGAGAGATCTTGGGGTTAACTTCTTTTTTCTTAAAAGAACTATCGAGTCAATTGAACTGAAGCAAGGTACTAGGAAAAGCACAATAAGCCAAAAGGCTGCAGAACTTGAGAAATTGCAAACACCCCTGCTTTGTAGTGTCCTTCTCATCAACATCAGGGTTTGCCTAATCCTACTAGAGATGGTTAAAGACTAGGGATGGTTATTGAATGTACAGTAGTTAGAGATGGTACACACCATGGAAGGGCAGGGTGGTTAAATTAAGTTAAGGAGGGTGAGGATGGTTAAAAGATGTTTACAAATTGGGGATGGTTAAGAAGGTTTGGTAAAAATTGGTAACATGCCAAGGGAAGGATGGGGATGATTAAGGAAAGAATGGTGAGAGACAGTTAAATATAGTAAAACACTAGGGAAGTATGGGAATGGTTAAGGAAAGTAAAGTTAGAGATGGTTAAATCAAGGAGAGGAGGGAAATGGTTAAGAATGGTTAAAGATATTAAAAAACTAGGGTAGTAAGAAAAGGTAACACACCAGGGATGAGGGTTAAGGAAGGCATGGTTAAAAAGGTAGTTCTGGTGGCTTTGGTGATCCCCCGAGGGACATGGTACAGGTCAGAAAATGGGTCTTGGTGTTTAGAGATGGCGATACTTCATGGAAGGGTGAGGTGGTTAAGTCAATGAGTGGTGAGGGAAGGTAGAAAGGTATATTAACAAAAAAAGGAGAGGAGGTTAAGGAAGGAGTAGGGAGAGATGGTTAAATATGGTTAGCGATGGTAAAACACTAGGGAAGTATGGTAAGAGTGTTAACACACACCATGGAAGGGTGGCGGTTGTCAAGGAATGGTGGGAAATGGTTAAAGATATTAAAAAACTAGGGTACTAGGGAGGGGAGAAATGGTAACACACCAGGGTTGGTTAAAGGAGGCATGGCTAAAAACAGTATTTCTGGTGATCCTCCGAGGGACATGGTACAGGTCAGAAATTGGGTTTTGATGTTTAGAGATGGCGACACTTCATGGAAGGGTGAGGTGGTTAAGTCAATGAGTGGTGAGGGAAGGTAGAAACTTGTGTAGTTAAGGAAGAAGTGGCAAGAGTTGATTAAGAAGGTTAGATATGATTTCATACCGGTAGTCGAATGGGTTGGTTAAGGAAAGAGTAATGTGAGATGGGCAAAAATGGGTAGAGATAGCGGCACAAAAAAGAGGTGAGGATGGTTAAGGAAGGAGTAGGAAGAGATGGTTAGATATGGTAAAACACTAGGAAAGTATGGGAATGGTTAAGGTACGTATGGTAAGAGTGATTACACACTATGGACGGGTGGGGGCGGTTAAACCAAGGAATGGTGGGAAATGGTTAAGAATGATTAAAGATATTAAAAACTAGGGTACTAGGGTGGTGAGAAAAAAAGGTGAGTGTGGTTAATGAAGGATTGGTAAAAGATGGTTAGGTATAGATCTTTTTTGAAAAGTATTTGATGTTGTGGAAATAGTTCTTTTTTTTTTGTTTGTCTTTCCACGGTGTGTGTGTACAAACAAAAGGAAAAGTGAACTTAGAGATACATACATATATAATTGTATTAACAACAAACCCATCATTGATGTGACTAAATGCCAGGACGCACCTGATCGTCTAAAGTAGTGAGATTTGGCGACCAGGAGCTACAAGTTCATCACCTCGCAGTCTTGAATAATTATAATATTTTTAAAATTTCAAATAAGAAAAAAGATATAGGTTGGATTTTTTTATTTGGATTGACTGCACTACAGTAGAAATCAATTTTTGAAAAAAGGTCAGAAAAAGCGTCTTCTCTTTTCGGCCCGGAGAAACAACATTTTACATACACAAGCGTTAACGGTGAGTATGGTCTCCATCGTCTGTGGTGTGAAGACCCTCTCCACCTGGTTTACAACCGGGCACTTCTGCACCTCGAGGAGCTTGTTAGGTGGTATGTAGGTGAATATGACTTTGCACTTCCTCCCGTCCGGCGTCTTGACATCCACCTCCTCGCCGAGCTTGAACTTTGTCTCGACGTGAAGGAGATGCGAGTAGGTCTTGAGGACGTAGACGCCGGAATAGTAGTTGAGCTGGAAGTTGGTCGGGAGCATTTTGACGGCGAACTTCCTTTTGAAAAAGTTGACGCCGATCTCGGCCAAGTAGTCGTCCAGGTTCTCGGTCTTGATCAGCTTGTAATGGACACCGCAAAACGGGCGCAGCGGCGCCTCCATTTCCAACCTCATCTTGCTCGACAATAAAACAGAAAGGGACTTTCTGACACTAAAACGTTTGACGCCATCCTCTTCGGCACTCATACAAGACTTTACGCATCCCATCCGACTGGGTATTGTCCTGAAATATCAAACGGCTATAATTCTAATTACTACAATCAAATAACTACATAACGAAAAATATAAAAGAAAAGGGAGGGCTGGGTCATCCGCAGAAATACGATTTCGTATGAAACTAAAGTGGCATTAAGACGTTTCCTCATGTGTACGTGTGTACAAAAGGCAAATAGACCGGTTGAAATTGTATATATTTTATTAATTGATACAGTTGTAGTGATGGAAAGGAGTGAGGCTGCGCGACCGGAAACGGAGCTTTGGCGATTTGTCAGTTTTGAGGATTCTCTCGAAGTACATTCTGCACACGGTCGAATTGACATTGAACTGCATGACGACGTCGTCCTGGGAAAAGTAGCGTACGATCCTGTTCACGGTCGAGCTCTTTTGAACCTCGACGAGTTTGTTGGGCGGTTCGAACGAATATACGACCTTGCACAACCTCCCGTCCGGGGTCTTGAGTTCCATCTCTTCGTTCAGCTTGAACTCGAGCTCGAGCTTCAAGAAATTCGAGAAGGTGTAAAGGACGAAGTGTCCCGATTCGTAGTTGAGCTCGAACGTGTCGGGCAGGATTTTGACGGCGATCTTTCGCTTAACAAAGTTGAGACCCAACGAGGCGAGGTATTCGTCAAGCCCCTCGGTCTTCACAAGTGTGTACGTGAGGCCGAAATATTCCTTCAGAGGTATATAACGCTTTGTCTCTACAAATTCTCTCTTTGTATATTCGCTTTGGACATTTTTCTTTGAAGAACGTCTGTGATTCGCGCCACAAAATCTTTTTCTCATCCAACTTACGAATTTCATCTCCCTGCAAAGAAATTCTGTTTAGCTTTAAAAAAATGGATTTCTTTTCTCGTGTCGAATCTAGAGTGGTTTGAAATGGTCAACAAATGGAGAAAAACCCTTACTAAACAATATAAAGGATACTTCCATTTAGATATAATGTCTAGATTCATTAGGTCGTTCGTCTATTCTTCCAACGCTGTAACGACTTATTTCTCAAAAGACAATGATATTTCCACCAAATCTTTTAAAACATGCACCAAAGACGATCAAGGTATAGATATTGTCGAACTGAAGAAAAATAATAGTATTTATGTATTTAAAATCAATGTATTTAAAAAACAAACAAGTTGATAACCTTACTAAATCTATTTTGAATAATTATTTTACAAATACACAGGTGTTAAATGCTTTAGAAAACCCAACAAAAACATCTCTCATCATGCGGGCCAATTAATATCGCAAATATGGACTTAAAAGTCACGAGATAGTTTGAATTAGGGGTAGTTACAAATGGCTGAAGATGGATAGAAACGGTTAAGGAAGGGTAGAGATGATTAAGGATGTAGTATAGTTGGTTAAAAATAGTTAGACATTGTGAAATACGGTTACAAATTGTTAGAGATGGTTAAAGATGGGAAGAGATGGTTGGTTGTGAATTAACAGTATCGATAGTTGTTAATTAACGTTTAGAGATGGTTCTGAATTTAAAATTTAGAGATAGTAAGGGAGATTGTAAATTAACAGTTAAAGCAGATAGTTGAATTAGGAGTAGTTATAGATGGCTGAAGATGGATAGACATGGTTATAAATGGTTGAGGAGGGGTAGAGATGATTAAGGATGTAGTACAGATGATTAAAAATTGTTAGAATTGTTAAATATGGTTACAAATGGTTAGAGATGGTTAAGGATGGGTAGAAATTGTTAGAGGTGGTTATGAATGGGTAGAGATGGTTAAGGATGGGAAGAGAAGGTTAAGTTTTGGCCGAGATGGTTGGTGGTGAATTAAAAGTTGAAGATGGTTAAGGGTGGGTAGAAATTGTTAGAGGTGGTTATGAATGGGTAGAGATGGTTAAAGATGGGAAGAGAAGGTTAAGTTTCGATAGAGATGGTTGGTTGTGAATTAACAGTTGAAGATGGTTTTGAATAAACATTTAGAGATCGTTAAACAAGGTTAGGGATGGTTGTGAATTAAAATTTAGAGATGGTTAAGGTTGGTTATGAATTAACAGTTATGGCTATGGCTGGTTAGAGGTGTTCAAATTATTTTGATTTATTAGCGAATGGAAAATTGTAAACATTTATACTAATGACTTAATATATAGTAAATAGAGTATGTGAGACTCTTCGTGTGGCCTGAGGCCAATAGCCCGGTTATTTGTTTATTAACTGTCCATTTTATATCGTATCAATGATTTTCTAAAATAATCAATAAATGTATAGTAAATTATGTTATGTTCCCTAGCAGGATTTCGAGATTTTTTTTAGTTCGGAAAAATCGTGCTTTGTTGATCTGATCTCTGCCTTTGTAATTATATTTGTCCGGGTGTAGGGGGGTCCTGCACGTATTTGCCACGCCTGGATTGGGCTTTTATTTGAGATATGCGCGGCACACAACTGTTGCATGTTAAGTCCTTCTGTATGACAGGAATTATTTTGCTTACTGTTACTTATTTGTAGTGTTGTTTATTATAGAAAAAAAGGATGTTTTATGGTTGATAATTTGCCATAGAATGTTTCTTAAGATTTTAAACATTGGAGTGTTTTCGATCATCCTGGTCCGCCTTTCCTCGCTGTATGTAAGACGCATTTCACCATCAAGTGGGTTTATTGTAAATATTTAACTAACCCTGGTGTGTAATCAATATTGAATGGCATGGAGGCCCTGACGAAGACAGTGATACTAATGATCTGACCCTGGCATGGGTCCCTAGGTACTCGGGATATGGAGGCCCCGAAGAGGGGGCCAACATGGACCCTACTGTGGTTTAGCATCCTGCCACAAAAGAGGATCTCTTAAACTGATTCCAAAACTTGGTGGAACAATACCACAGGTAGGGTGGCACGCGAAGGGATCCATAGAAGGACCAACCGCAAAACTTACAAAAGAATTACTGGAAGGTAACCGCAACCGAACCAGGATTCTGGTTTGACTCCTGAAAGGCCACTTAAGAAAGCGCATGCACCGGACAGAAGCACTGAGCAGATTCTGCCAGGAAGAGGAGGAGACCGCAGAACACGTTTTATGTTTCTGTGAAGGTGTTGGTGCAGAATCTTGCAACTAGGAAAATTAAACCGCAAGGAAGGTGAGCCGTTGACAAAGCTATGGAGGCCGATTAACAACCTGAAGCTGGCCAGTGAGTTATGAAAAACAGGGAGCACAATAGATCTATTCAGAGCAGAAGGCCCCTATCTCATCATTAACAGCTGATGTTTATCCATAGTCATCTCTTGGCCAAACTGCCGTGATGTCTAGTGTGTATCCATCTCTACACAATTTTAACCATTACAAACTCAAACTATAGTGATACCTGGTGTTTAAATATCCTTCATAGACCTACCACTGAAGATAAAGAAATATCGAAATTTCTGTCATACCAAAACAGCGAGGATAGGCGGACCTAAAGAATAAATCCAGTTATACAGATTTTAATGAATTGTGTAAGTTATGAAAAGTTTAAATAAAAAAAAGACAACAATTAAAAAATTGTATTGGACGTTTATATTTAACGAGGTTGTTCTTCATCAGCCAAATACAGCCTTTTGGCCGTCACATTTCCGGTTATGTAGGTCATGAGAGCCCTGTCCAGATAGAACTTGCGAATTATTTTCGACATCTTCTTGTCATCGTGGTTCTGGTACTCGATGAGCGTGTCGTCGCTCTCTTTCTGCACAGTGACGTACACCTTCTGAAAGTTGGGCAGGACGTATTCGAACTGTTCGTTGAGCTTGAAGTCGAGCTTGATGCTGCTGACCGGGGTGCCGAAGACCATGCGGTACGCGTCACCGTTCACGAAGACCTGGAAGGACGGCCGAAGTTTCATGAAGACGCTCCTCACGAGGGAACTCACGCCGAGCTCTTTCAGGTATTCGTCGAAGTTCTCGCTCGAATGCAACGTATACTTGATCCCGGAAAATTTGTCCATTTTTGGCTGGGTCTGTTCGGTTTTTTAATAGGTTTTTGTGTTCAAGTGTGAAAGCTAGACAATTTATAGCCAAATTTTATCCACTGTAGAACATAAACTAAGAAAATGTTTATATACAAAAAATTTTTGGACATCTTTCATATTCAAATATCAAACATCTTGCATGGTTTTGCATTAAAAGTTCAAACCGAAAATTATAAAAATAATGATTAAAAAAACAAGATTATTTTCAAATTTACCTTCTTTTGTAACATCACAAAAAAAAGTGTTTTAGAATAAAATTTTGACTAGATCGCAACAAAATTTCTGTACTTAAAAAAATAAAAGAATTTATACCTTTTACTATGACCTTATGATATGGTGTTCCTTTTTTTCGAGAGGTTATAATTTATGATTTATTGTAGGCACAGTTGTACATAAATTAAATCTGGAATATCCCGGGTGATTTGTTTTTGACCTCTCAGCAAACATGACCTGTTGTAAATGTTAAGATGTTAAATAATTCTGTAGTTTAATCGTTTCCTATCATCCTGGCAGCCCTTGATCTAGCACCCTTGACCAAGACTAACCAAATCTGTCGTCTTCGACCATCTCTATCCAGATGTAGCACCCTTGACCATGACTAACCAAATCTACCATCCTCGACCATCTCGATCCAGATCTAGCACCCTTGACCATGACTAGTAAAATATATCATCCTCGACCATCTCGATCCTGATCTAGCACCCTTGACCATGACTAACCAAATCTATTATCCTCGACCATCTCTATCCAGATATAGCATCCTTTACAATCTCTATCTAGATCTAGTGTCCTTGACCATCTATACCAAAACTTAGCAACACCTTTGGGACGAGTTGTCAAAGGGTAAAAAGTCGCCCAGTTTGACAGAGAATTTGAAGGAATAAAGAATGGCGTGTTGGAGGGTGGCCACTTTTTTCTCCTCTCACTGTAGTATTCTTGATCCATTTCTAACCAGATCTAGTATCCCTGAACATTATGACAATCTCAAACCACCTCCACCAAGCCTTAACATATCTCACTAACCCTACCAACCTTTGCCATCCCTAAGTATCTTTAATAATCTATATATTACCTTTAATATCTATAAATAATAATCTATCTTTAATAATCTATAAAGACCTCTAAGGATCTCTGGTCTATTCTTAGTCCACCCCTAATAATCCATGGCCTTTTTCCTATCTCTACAAAGCCAACCATCTTAACTATCTCTACCACCATTAAAAATCTGTAACCTACGACCAAATATACAATCTTTAATCACTCCTAACCATCCTTAACACCAGCTTTAACCACTTCCACTAATACTTATCTTTGAAGTAAATGTTGATTGTGTCCTTCAATCCATTTTTAATCAATTCAACCACTTCTCATGTCTAACCTGTGTATACTCATCCCTAAATCTAAAACTATCACCTTTAAACTGAGGGGGTGTTTAACTATCGTAACAAACCTCAGCTGATGATGAGAAGCTGAAATGCATTTGCTAGGCGAAAACAGAACTAGCAGACCAGGATGATCGAAAAACGCCGAACTACAAGTTCACCAGCCCGGAGGCCTCGAGGGACCCAACCTGCAAGATGTTTGAACTCCATTCGCCAAGAGTTCGTGCGTTTGATTTTGTTCGTAAATTATGTAAATGTGTTAATCCTACCTATTCAAATTTCATGTATAATATTTGTATGCCGGTGACGTGTTACGAAGTCCGACGGAGCCCCTCCAAACCGGCCGAGAGCCAAGAACAAATGTCCAACGAGTTGAAAACGCACATTTCTTGAGACGGGGCTTCGTCTGATCCTGATTTTCTTTTATTGTTTTTATTATCCTTGTAACATGACACCTCAAAGCCCTTGACCAATGTCTACATATCGTCCGTTGAAAATTTTCCGAAAAACTTTTTTTTTGTTAATAAAGAATCATATGTTCGAAATTGATTCAAGACAGTAAAGGAGGGGAAGGAACATTTGCTATTTTTTTATGTATACCGAACACTTTAAAATACCGAAATTAAATGTTAAACATAAGATAGAATAAAAGAAAAAAGCAACTTACCAAATATTTCCCCTCGAAAAGTATCGTGTTTGTCAAATTGGATCTTGTGACGGCCGTGTCAATGTGGAGAGGTCGGTGCGACACCGTGGGATGTCGAAGAGAAGCGTCGATCAACATCCCATGACCCGAGAAAAGGCGAGTCTTGGACATATTTCGATCTCACAACTTTCCATCCTTCTGTGGCCGAAAGACGACCGGGCCATGTCGAGGATGGATGACAAATAAAGGGCTCGATTTGAAATTTGATTTTTCAATAAACTATTTTACGAAAAAAAAAATTTCATATGTGAGTTAGTTGTAATTTAATGAAAGTAATCATATTGGTTTTAATTTTAACTTAAGAAACAAAATAACTGAAATTACGCTTTAAACACAACAAAATCATAAAGCCTAATAAGAGCCTGACTGCTAAAAACTATTATATTAATTTATGTAACATTAAAATTACAAAATACAAAAACAATTGTCAAATAATTTATGACTACTAATAACCATTAAAAACCACTAACAATCCTACTACCTACTTACCACCTACTTATGCTCAACCATCCTGCTGGCCCTTGGTCATCTCTAACCACACCAGCCTACCATTAACCATCATCCATCCTTAACGATCTCTACACTATCCATAGATACCATTAACAACCTCTAACAATCCCAGCTTATACTCAACTCCTGCTCACCATTAACCTCTCTATACATCCTTAACACTCTCTACTCTATTCATGACTACCATTAACAATGTCTAAATGGTATAACCTCTAATAATCCCACTTATACTCATCCATCTTGCTGGCCCTTGGTCATCTCTAACCACACTAGCCTACCATTAACCATCATCCATCCTTAACGATCTCTACACTATCCATAGATACTATTAACTACCTCTAACAATCCCAGCTTATAATCAACTACTGCTCATCATTAACCTCTCTAAACATTCTTAACAATCTCTACTCTATTCATGACAACCATTCACTATATCTAAATGGTATAAACTCTAACAATCCCTACTTATATTCAACAATCTTTAAATATCCCTACTCACATCTAACGACCTTTAACCATACCAGCCTACCGTTAACCATCATCCATCCTTAACGATCTCTACACTATCGATAGATACCATTAACCACCTCTACCCATCCTGAACAATTTCCACACTATCTGTGACTACTATTAACCATTAACAACCTCTAACAATCTCAGTTTATACTCAACTACTGCTCACCATTAACCTCTCTATACATCCTTAACTATCTCTACTCTATTCATGACTACCATTAACTATGTCTAAATGGTATAACCTCTAACACTCTGCTCTAACTCTCTGCTTATACTAAACAATCTTTAAATATCCCTGCTCAGATTTAACAGATCACAAATACGATTTTTTTGCTTCGACCAACAATCCAATAACTCAAGATCAGCCATTTTACATTATTCCATTAATTTACAACTTTTGTAATTCATAAAGCCAGCGATAGATCTATGTTTCCAATTACAGACCAATATCTATTCAATCCATGTTCTCCAAGATATTTGATTCCATTATTTGTTAAACTTAAAAATGGCATTAAATATTTTATTATACCTCAGCGACATGGTTTCTGCTCCAATAGATCAACTGTTACTAACCTGCTCATGTTTCGAAATTATATCTTAGATGCAATAATCTCTGGACACCAAGTAGACTCAGTGTACAATGATTTCTCTAATGTTTTTGATAAAGTAAATCTCACAATACTGTTAAGGAAACTAATGGATTATGGTTTCACCGGAACTATCTTGAATCGGTTATCCAGCTTTCTCTCCGACAGAAAACAAATAGTCAAAGTAAAATAATTTAAATCGTGTCCCTTTGCGGCTTCCTCAGGAGTCCCGCAAGGGTCTTTATCTTGGGCCAGTTTTGTTTCTCTTATTTATCAAGGATATCCATCTTGCTCTCCCTTCTGCTCAATTTTTATTTGGTGATGATCTGAAAATCTATTCCAAAATTACTTCTTCTGATTGCTTTCAATTACAAAATTCTATCAATAATGTGCTAACAAACTTGCTCTCAATGTCTCCAAATGCTGCACAATTACATTCTCTCATAAGAAACAACCTTTTCTTTATCATTACGCTCTCCATGATTCTCTTTTAACGCGAATTGAGGTCGTAAAGGATTTTGGTGTACTTTTTGATCAAAAGCTCAAGTTTAAAGAACATATTTCTTCAATAAAAAGTAGATCTATGAAGATGCTAGGTTTCATCATCCGGAACACCTATGAATTTAAAAATCCTCTATGTTTCGTCCATCTTTATAAAGCTTTTGTACAACCCATACTAGAATACGCTACACCTGTTTGGAACCAATTATATCTAAATTATCAAAAAATTCTTCAATTTGTATGAAACAAATAAAAAAAAAAAAAAATACAAACAATCTTTCTCCAAACTCTGCCTACCCTGGAATTCGTTCTGAATTTAAACTTTTCGAACTGGCACTAAGAAGGGATTACTTTGATATTGTTTTTGTATTTAAATTATTAAACAATCAATCTTGTTGATAGTCCTTCTCTCCTCTCTCAGCTACAGCTACACATCCCTTCGCACTCTCTTAAAACCCACAAACTATTTTATATTGAATTCCAAAGCTCTAACTACACGCTCTCTTCTCCTCTACACAGAATGATGATCGAGAATAAAAACATCTGCATAGCATGGACTTAGTTATTTGTGAAAAACCATATCCTACAACCCTACTTTAGTTGAATTTTCTTACATTTTATATTTTTGTAAGTGCTTTTATATTTCATACTGTTAAAAATTTATTACAATTTATTTCATTTACCGGTTCACCTAAATCTTGCTCTCTTGTCTTATATATCTACAATGAGCATTATTTTCATTAAATATGTACCTAAATATTGTAGGTTGAATTGTCTTTCAGCTTTATTTTGTTTCTTTTGCCTTAATTTGGTTAGTAATTATGTCTTTCATTTTTGTTGTTGTTCAGTTTTTACTCTTTAATTGTATTTTTATATTTATCATTTATATTTACCATGCTGCAGTCAAATAATTCAAAATCTGCCTGTATTTCTTCTATTTATAATAACTCATGGCTCCGAGAGACGACATGAACAGGATGTTTGAATTTAACCAAAACTTCCGAATAAACCTAGATACCAAAAAAAGAATGGGAACAAGAGGGAAACACCTCTTTTAAGAATGGCACCATCCTCTGGTACACAAGAAGGTACAGGGGCAGGAGTATTTGAACCTGGAATCAAATACTCAGAACCCATGGGAAAATACACCAGTATCTTCCAAGCTAAGATTCATGCAATCGAATGCAATGTACTCAACTCAACCTAAGTAAAGGGTACAAAATAAGAATATTGCTTTCCTGTCAGATTGCCAAGCAGCCATTGAAGCACTAAGCTCAAATATCATTAGTTCAAGGATTGCGCTGAACTGCAAAACCAAATTAAACATATTAGGTATGCAGAACAGTCAGCATCTGCTGGGTCCCAGGACAAATGGGAGTAGACGGCAACGAGAAAGCGGACACCCTTGCAAGGCAAGGAGCTGCTACACCGCTGACAGGACCTGAACACTTCTGTGGCATAGGAACTCACACTATTAATGAGTATCTCAGACAGAAGGACAAACAGAAAATGAAGGAACTATGGAATTCACTTATTGGACAGACAATCCAAGAATCTTCTAACCAATTTTGGAAGAAAAGAAATTACAGAATGTGTCAAGGTAAGCAGGAATAAACTGCGAATCCTAATAGGATTCCTAACAGGACACTATTGACTGCAAGTTAAACGGACATTTAAAGAAGATTGGAATAAACCAAAATGGCACATGCAGATTCTGCAAAGAGGCAGAAGAGAAACCAACACATTTACTAACAAACTGCGGAGCTACACTAGCCCGCAGGAGAAAATGTTTTGAGATGCATAATGTGACCATAGAAGAGCTTCAACCCGCTACAATAGCTGTTAAAGGGCGCAGTATACTATACCTTGAAATTATATCTGCATCTATTTATAATTTACAATAAGCTAGCAAAACTTTATTAAATCCTGCAATAATCTGAAAAATCTCACATTTTTCAAAATCTGAAGTATAAATCAGTCAATATTCAAAGAACAGCCTGTTTGCACTATTGCTTCAATTTAGAATACATAATAGATTGATAAAACTTTAGTATTGTTCTAAAAATATAATAGACTAGATAATAGTGAGGTCAAGTACGCTTTTGTGAGTTCTATTCGGGCTGACCAGTGTAGAAAGGGTCTTCAGAAACCCCGCCTGTATGACTTGCTCCACTGTCGGTTCATGCGCTTCCTTCTTGATTCATACAGGCATAGTAAATAATAAAGGAGAAAACTCGGTAAAAGTAGTAGCAGGTTCACAGTCGACGACTATACCAGGACAGGTCCATATTGGTTTTACATTTTACGATTGTGATGCTTGATCATCACCAATAGTACTGAACTTTGAGTGATTGGTGACGATCCAAGTTCACTTCCTATATTTACAAAACTTAACTTATCAAAAACTATTGGTGGTATCTTGTAAATTGTCCCGTTTGAGAACAAACAAAACGATCAAGACCAGCCCTTTGTTTAAACATTGCATCGCCTCGTTGTATCATTGCGTAATGCTTTGTCGAATACGGTAAATCTTAGAAAGGTGTTGAGATAGAGAAAAAACAGTTGTTTTGTTTGTTTTATTAAACGTACACCGAATCTATGTACACATTAGCTTATATTTTAATAATGCAAAGTATATAAATAAAAACGTTCCTCTTCTTAAACACTCTAAGGAAAATTGTGGTAACATTCTTTGACACTTTTATACAATTAGTCAGACTGGAACTCTTATTTTAAAGAGTTTTACAAGGAAAAAGGCACTCTTGTTTTGAAAAGAAAAATGGGAAAAATAACTATCATTTGGAATTTTTTTAAAAAGAAATTTTCTTCAGGGGGCATGAAATTGTGTAAAAGGTCTTTATTTACACTTTGTACACAAGGGGTTGATTTTTGTTTAGTGAAAGGGGTTGTTTTTTTGTTACCCTTGTCAAAAGGGCGTAGCAGTCAGTCTTCGCATCGCACGTTGTCACAGTTGTTGCTCCAGAACATGCAACTGCCGAGTCCCGAGTAGCAGATGAGCACGACCGCGGAGAGGAAGACGAGGCTGCAGATGGTGCAGGGCTTCTTCTCCAAGAAGAACCCCGTCAGGTAGAGGACCATGAAGACGACATGGGTCTGCAGAAGGGTCGGGTTCACCGGCTTCGGGATGAGCAGAACGGGGATGAGCCATTGGAGACAATACATGACGACATCTCAACAGGATTTACACGACATCATACCCACGGGCTTTGAAACAGTCAATCCTGACTCTGAAGTCTGACCAGCGACCAGTGACCTGACTCTGACCAGGAGGCGGACGTCCACGGCCACGGCGAGACGACGCGAAACGCGACGGACCGAATCGATCCGCCTCGACGCCGGAGGACAGGACGAAAAAACACAGAATACAAAATACAGAAAGGAAATAATTTGAAAAAAACTTAGAACTATAAAGTACTAACTAAAAAGTACTGAATCGACTAAGAATTGAACTTGCTGCAGGAATCGATATGCCATATGACTCATCGAGTCCGGGCCTTTATGAAACGACAACAACGGCAATTACATAAAAACACAAAAATAACCACCCAAATAAATAATTTGTAAATAACAAAGGATACTTCTAACTCGACAAGGTCAAAAAACACAACAAAACGTCAAGGTTTTATAAGAAAAGTAGAATCTAAGAAATAACATAACAATGACAATTTCAGTTTTGCACCAGTTACTACTACTCTCTAGTTTTACTCTAGTTCAGCCTTTTTACATTGTTTCTTAAATTTAAAATGCATATGCATTGATAAAACACTAAAAAATTCTACAATAATCTGAAAAATCTCAGATTTGTCAAGGAAAATAAAAAATGTCGGAGTCAAAATTCTAGCTTGGAACATCAGTTGGGTAACTTGTGTTCCCTTTTTAGGTTATTCCGTTAATTGAAAATACAAAATACTCTATAAAGTAAATAACAAAGAAAAATAAGGTCAAAAACACGACAAAATGCCAAGGTTTTATAAGAAAAGTAGAATCTAAGAAATAATATAACAATGACAATTTCAGTTTTGCACCAGTTACTACTACTCTACTCTAGTTCAGCTTTTTTACATTTTTTCTTAAATTTAAAATGCATAATGCATTGATAAAACACTAAAAAGTTCTACAATAATCTGAAAAATGTCAGATTTGTCAAGCCGAATAAAAAAGGTCGGAGTCAAAATTCTAGCTTGGAACATCAGCCGGGTAACTTCTGTTCCCTTTTTAGATTATTCCATTAATTGAAAATACAAAATACACTGATAAAGTACTAGAAATTTCTACGTTAATATGAAAAAATATGATTTCCTCAAAATCTATAGGATAAAATCAAAATTACAAACTTTCAGTTTCCAATAGCGGTCAAATAACTCAAAATCAGCTTATTTATAATATTTCTTGAATTTAGAATGAATAATAAACTAGTAAAACTTTAGAAATGTATACAAAAATATTTCTTCAAAATCTATCTATATAACATCTTTGATTTATTTGTTTATTTAGTAGGTATAATAACTAGTAAAACTTTTGAAAATCCTACAGCTGGAATTGTGTACTCTTGCTGTTATCCATTATATTTTTATTTGCTTGGACAAACCTGATATTTTTCAGGTGTTTTCAGGTTGCAGAAATTGTTACTAATTATGGTTTCCTTCCATGGGAATTTTTAAGATTTGTTATATATTTTTCATTCATCCTTTGGTCTTTGTTGGTGTATAAGGCATTATAAATGGGGAAAATATGGTAAAATAGCAGATCTGAAGTTCCTCTACAAAATTTGTAGAAAGTAATTTTGTTTTATTCCTGTTATAAGATTTTGTTGATATGAAATGATCCGTATTGTGAGATTCATAAATAATCCAAACCTTATAAGAGTAAACACACATGTTTTCAAAGGAAGTGGGGGGTCAAAAAACATGTTAAAAAATGTTAAATGTCTCTTTATTTTGTGCATTTTTGAAATACATAATAAGAGAGAACAAAAGATAACAAAAATGAGTTAACATAGTTTTCATGCCTTTCTCCTTGGCAGACAAATGAAACATAAAAAACACCATTATGTACATGATTTATGATTGATTGAAAATATAAAAATTTAAAATTATGGTTGGATGCAGTGGTGAGGAACGACTATCTAGAAAATCGAGTAGTATCACTTTTTTTCCGAATGGTAACAATCACCACACTGTTCGATACTTGAAGACTTTTGTTAAATTTATTTTTTCAAATTAAAAAAAATCTTTACTTTTGCGTGGGATGTACATTCGTGATACCAATTTTACACCTAATTGAGTCGTTTTTGTTCAAATATTTTTATTATTATCTTATAAAATTAACAAACAATCACAGATAACTACGAGTTATAATATCTTTCAAACTACTACAATGACTAGTATTTTGCAAAGGATAATCCTTTCTTTTTTCATCCTTTCCGAAATAACATTAACATGATATTTTTAGTTTAATTTTACTTGTTTAAAGAACACTTTTACATTTGTGTTCTGTTTTTTTTCCTAGGAATTTTTTTTATAGATCTACGTTCTATATAAAGTCCATTGAATGGCGTTGAAACTAGATCTAACAAATGTGTAATAAAGTTTTTTTAAATATTATTTTACTACGTGTATATACAGCAAATTTAACACTGAAAACTGTACAGATTATTCACACTTTTGATTATATTATTTTGTACAAAACATTTACAATATGCTGTATTTAAAAAAAAGTTAAATACAGCATAATTGGAGTAACTATTTACAGAGTGGCTGAACATGCATTTTTTTCAGTTCACATTCTGTTGTTGTATTGTCTTCCCTTGTGAGTTGTAACTCGATTGTTGAGTTATATTTAGTCTGCTTGGCTCCCTGCACTTTTCATCGTGTTGGGTAGCCTGCAGGGTTGCGCAGCTTCTGAATAAAGGCATGATGATTCGCTGCAGGAGCAGCAGTCGCTCTGCTGATAGCTGCCGCACTCGTCCCAATTCCTCCGCCAGTTCTCAGTCTCATTATGATCACACTGGCAATCACCTGCAATGCGTTATGACTGAATACAACAGAAACCAAAAAAATAGAACAAATTAGATTTTACATTTTGTTGCATTTTCGTTGTGCCTTGTCGCTTGGATTGTCGTGTTTGATTTTTTCTCGCAGCAGTGTATGTCGCAGCTGCAGACCCTGTTGACGGGCTGGCCATAGAGGAGCGACGTGCTTTCTTCGTGCGTGTGGTCCGGTGTAGGCTCACGCAGACGGTGGGCAAGTGGCTGGCAGTGGTGGCTGTGGTGCGATGAACAGTTGCTGCCACATGTGCTACGGCCGCACTCGTGCATACAGCGCACCTGTTGCAAATTAAAACAAATTGTAAAACTTTTTCTTCAAGACTTAAGGAAGACATACAGAGTGGGATGTGTGCGCATGTCGGCAGGTGTCATTGTGCCAAGGAGGACACCTCTGAGAGAGTCCATCCCTTGAAGAGCAGCTGCCGCATCTTCGGTTTATCGTTGGACTTCCGCATACCTGCACACAATTAATTCGCATGAACAACTAATAATATACAATAAATGAATAAATAAATTAAACCGGTGCAGAAAGTCTACCTCTGCCTATTCTCTCCAGTTTCAGATGTGTCTCAGAATTCTGCCATTTTCATTGGTGATGTGTTTAGGAATTGTGAAACATCATATATAACAATGATTTGAGTTTTGGATGGATAAAGATAGGTAAAATGCGTAGGTAAATGATAAGACGAGATTTTCATACTAGTGTTCATATAGTTTAGGTTATGGATGATGGTTAGAGATGGTTATACACCAGATATGACAGTTTGGGTAAGGCATGAATAGAAACAGTTAGATGTATTAGTCAGGGTGTGTATTATACTGCGCTCTTTAAGAGCTATTGAATCCATAGAAATGGCTAGTAATGGTTACATAACAGACTTGATATTTAAGGTTATAGATGATATAGAGATTATTAAAAACCGTAGAGATGGTTACACACCAGATTTGACAGTTTGGGTTAGGGATGGTTTGACATAGTTACACGCTAGATACCATAGTTTGAATTATATTGGATAGAGATGAAACACCCCTAAGTAAATTATCATTCTACCTAGTGTTGAACCATCCTTACTGGACCCCCCAACTGAAGAAGACGAAATGTCGAAACTGTATCAAACAATAGTTTAGAGTGTTGAAAGGGAAAGAATTCAATTGTGTAAGATGTTCTCAAATATATTTCAATCTTCTGTACCCAGATTGTTTTTATCCTCTGTACTCACTTGGTAGGTCCGGTGTGCCGATCTGGCATCTCCGACCGGCGGAGGGTGTTCCGGAGGCGGGGGTAGAAACTCGTTCCAGTTGGGAAATCCGTTCTGCATGCAGTCGGGGGTCAGCCTCTGCATCCTCCTCATTTGCGGGTCGTCAACTTTTGAAAAAAGGGAAAAAATCAGAGAGGGAATTTTGAGACAATCAAGTCGTCGACCTTACCTAGAAATATCGGCCTGAGTTCCTGGGCCATCATGTCCTTCGAGTCTATCGTGTGCGAACGGCCGTCTGATTTCTAAGGTAAATAATTTATAGTTAATAAATAAGATAGGTCGAATGTATTACTTAACGTACGTTTTCATCTGTCCGGCTTAAAAGAGTGGTCGTGGCGTAAGGAGTCGGCTGTTCTTTTCTGGGGTTGTAGAAAGTGGACAGTGACCTGGCATCGACTTCGGCGTAATCGGGCCCGACTTCGTGCGGACCGACTTTGCACCCGCTGCTTATTTTGTCCCAGCCCCTGTCGATCCAGAGCGTGTCTTTCCCGTTGCCGTGGAGGAGGGAGAGATCGTTGCCGCCGCTCACAGTCGGTCCGCCGAGGTGGCTGAGGTCTTTGGCCATCTGCCTCTTCCTCAGGTAGACGAACGACGTCGCCACCGCACCGAGGACGAGGAGGATGAGGCATACGGACGTGACGAAAAGCCACGTGTCGGAGGCCGAATGGCTCGGCTGTGCGTGAGGCCCTTGCTGGGCGGTCGACCAGCTCAAAGGCACGACGGGAGAGTACGGACCCAGCCCTACTCGCGTGTACGCCGCGATCCTAGCACCATACTCCCCGTTGGTGCTAATGTTTTGCAAAAGGATGGACCTCGTGCTGCTATTAACTGACATCTGGATCGGAATCTTCGTCAAATTACTCCTTACTTGTATCTAAAATACAATAAAAATTATAAATTGTTTTAAAGTAAAATTTAGATATGACTTACTCTATATCCTAGTAATATCCCGTTGAAATGTTGAGGGGATGGTGCCGTCCACCTGACTATCGCCGTGGTAGCGTTGATCATATCCATTTGTATATTAACCGGTGCAGCAGAAGGTACTAGAATAAGACGAAAAAACTGTAAATATTGACCAAACGCAAGTGTTTAAGTCTTTTCCTACCGTCTTCCAAAGTCTGCACAGTTTTGGAGTTGGAAGGCTGCCCCTCGACGCTCTTGAAGAAAGGCACGAGGAAAAACTCGTACTTTGTGAATTTGCGCAGGTTTGAGACAGTGTATTGCGTCGCCCCTGCGTTCATCACCGTGAGCATGTTGTACTTGTGCGAACCTCCCGCGAGCTCCCTGAAACGAACATAGACGCCTTCGAGAAACTCGTCGCTGCCGACGAGCTCCCAGCTGATCTTCACAGCGGTCGAAGCAGTCGGTATGAGGTTCTTGAGCGTTAGGACTTTGGTGCTGAGCCGCATCCTCGCTTCGTCCAGCTGTTGTGGCGGCACCGCCCTCGAATCCTTACTCATCGTCTTGACCAGCTGTGATACCCTGCTCGGCACGGACAGTCCGAAAGGGTTCTCAGCTCGCACTATGAAAATATACCCGGTGTCCGGTTTCAAGTCCCTGACCATGATGTAGTTGGTGGGAATCCTATGGGCGGCAACTACCCACCCGCTCTGCAAGTCGGGGCTGTAGTATTCGACAGTGTAGCCGATTATGGTGCCGGAGTCTTGAGGAGGGTCCCAGATGACAGTGAGGGAGGACTGGGAGGCGTTGAGTAGTCTCGGGATGGACGGGGGGCCGGGGAAGGCGCTCGGGTCGGGGCTCCGGTGCAAATCCGCCCCTGGGCTATCTTCGACTGATAACGACCCCGACCAGGAACTCTCGCCACTTTCCGATACGCCCGTACAGGTGTAGAGGCCGGAATCGCTCTGCTCCAGTTCTGTCAATTCATGCAGAAAGAGATTATTTAAAAAGCTGGATAATTTGGCCAATTGTTGCACTTTGAAAACAATTTAGAGGTTCAACATTTGTATGGTGATATAGCATTTTCCAGTCTAATGAAACTTATTTCTTTTTTCAAACAAATGAAACCATTTTTCATCAAATGAAACATTTTTCCAAGCAAATGAAATCTTTTTCCAAGAAAATGAAAACTTTTTTCAAGCAGATGAAACCTTACTTCAAGCAAATGAAATCCAAAAATTAGAGTGTTTTATAAAAATAGGTATATAGATAGATAAATGAGATAGCTAGGTGACAGACAGATAGCTAGATAGATACATTCGTAGATAGACGGATAGGTAGATAGTTGAGTACATAGATTTGTAAAGATTTCTTTCTTTCCAAATCGAGAAATATTTAAAAAACGTGAAATATTTCTTTGTAAAATTAACTTTCAAAAGTGGTTAGGTGAGGAGGGTGATGTTTCATTCAGCGAATTTCAGAAAAAAAATGAAGCCAGGATTTGTGACTTGTAGCTTATTTAATTACAAGCTGTAAAGAAATGTAGTTTAGGGTCGGAGGGGGGTGGTCGGGGGAGCAATTTTATTTTTAATGGACAATAAAGGAGTTTTTATATCATGCATTTCTCCGAGGGGGAAAAGCCATAAAGTCGAGGGTTTGAGGAGCGGAAGTCGCAATTAAACCGCCTATTTATCCAGACTTCCGGCCTCCTCAAAGATACATGGCGAACGCGCGGGAAGGGAAAAACCGTTTAGAAAAATCTGCGAAATTTGTTTACGACCCGGTCAAAATTTTATCTCGACCTTTGCAGACTTAATTAAATCCTCGGCGAACCCTTTAAGCCCTTAATTTTCTTAAGCTTATTAATACACTGAGGTCTGGTGAATCGAGCCGTTGAGGGGAGGGGGAATGAATTGGGAAAACTGTTCTGTTATATTTCTGTAATTAGTCTCCCCTTTTGTTCTTTTACTTCAACTTTTTTGTTTTTAATTAGACGTTCTTCAGTTGTCAGGATCTGTTTTTTTAGAAGATTCTTTAGTCCTGAAAAGGGGAGAGGTGAGAGAGAGACATAGAAACGGCCGTATTATGATTCAAAATTAAAAACACGGCTTCCCCTCAGAAAATATTTTGTCAAGGTTGACGTTTAGCAATTAAAGAAAAGGAAAAAAAAGGACATTGTGACTCTAATACTTTAATACAGAGTTGAAAAACAGGGGAAACAAACATTCAAGCTAAATAGAGACCGACAAAAAACAAAAAAACAACACCAAATTAACATGAAAAAACTTACATAGAGAGGTAAGAGGGATGAAGGAAGAGTGTGTACATACAGAAGAATATTCACATAGACAGATAAACAAAGTGAAAAGGGAGGCCGAAGGAAAAAACTAAAAAAAGAGTAATAAATGGAAAAACAGATAAATAGAAATACTGACAGATAATAATATGTAAATCTTCTTTCAAGCAAAATTTTAGTTAGATTTTTTCAGGTTTACGACCACGTTATTTCTTTGTGTCTTTTCCTTTTTTTGGTTTTATGCTTGAAGTCATGTAAAACCATGATTTTATGGTAAGAACGTTTGCATCTTCTAAGCTGAAAAAAATATTTCTTTCAAACTTGCCTTATCCCGGATCATTTTTTTATATATAAATATAATATTAAGGCTGATATCAATCGCATCAAGATGTATCTTGTAAGCTAAGCACTTAAATAAATTAAAACTATTTTCCCCCATAAGTTTCTCAGACTTACTGCCATGTCAATTCGACTTGTTGGCCTAAAAATATCGGAAAAACACGCTAAAAAACTTTTCTAAAACCCATTTCACCGCTTTCACCCTGGTTAGGCTAACCTTTTGAGGGGAACACGTTAGATTTTAGACAGAAACGATTGCCTAAGGTGATTACCTCGAAAGCTTGGCAGATAACATTTTAAGTTTTTTTTTTCATCTAGACCATATCGAGATTATTCCTGAGTGAAAAAATAGTTGGTAAATCTAACACTTTAAACATAAAACGTAAAACCCATTTCTATCTTCACCCTATTTAGACCTACATTTTAAATAGAAAACTTTATATTGTAGCCATTCAATTAATTAAGGTTTTTAGTTGAGACAAAAAATCAATGTCACGAGCGGGATTCGAACCCATGACCTTCGGCTGGATATACCGCTACTCTAACACTTGAGCTATCGCGACCTCGATCCATTCGGACACGGAATTAATTGGTAAAGCGGACCACGAAAACTGGTGAATTTATATTGTAGATAGAAACTGTCTAGTAAGCTAAGCACTTACATAAAAGTATTTATTTACTTAAAATTTTTCAGACTTACTGCCAAGTCAATTAGATTTTTTACGCTAAATGTATAAAAATGGGTAAGAATTCAAAGTTGGAATGGATTTCGTCTAATTCCACTTTCGTCTTGATATAATTTAAATAGACTTTGACTTTTTCGCTCTGGCAAATCGGACCGCGGAGGGCGACAGGATTTCCGGCTCGGTTATGCAAATGGCACGACTTAGAGAACCGACCGGGAGGTAAGGCGGCACCCGGGAAATAATAACCGTCGGGTTTGGTTTTCAAACCCTCGACAGACACCCCTATGCATATTTATACAGGGTGTTTAACATGCGATGTCGCTCTCCCGGGATTTGAATATTCTCCTTTCGCTGAAACGGCTCCTGGGTAAGTCCCTACTTTGAAATTGAGTGAAAATTTAGCCCGGGATCGAATTGAATCAACGTCTTATTAGCGTGGGAACTGTACGACCGTACTCTTGCACTTTTGCAAGGAGAATCGACAATAGAGATCCATTTTCTGAGTGATATGACCCTCCCCGACAGACATGCTTCTGTTGATGGCGTGGAATACATCGAGGATGTAACCACAGGCATAATCTGCCTCCAAATAACTATAGGTTGGACGAGTAAAGTACAGAGAGGAGTAAAGTTCTCTTTTATTTTAGTTAGTTAATTAGATGTAGACAAAGATTATAATGTAAAGAATTCATTCTCATTTAAGGGGATCATAACCCAACATATAATTGATGGTGATGAATTGTTGATATCTCTGGATGTAAAATCCTTATTCACAAGCGTACCTTTAGGTTTAATAACCTACATTTTAAATAGAAGAGTGAAATTACAACACTTACAAATATTCCCTGTGAAACAATTCTTGACATTTTCCATTGTACTGCATTTAAAGGCTATTTCAAGTACAACGGTGATATATATGAACAGGTCGAAGGAGTTGCTATGGGAGGAACATTATCTCCTGTTCTGGCAGACCTAGTCATAAATGACTTAATAGATTGGGTAAAAATAAATTTTGATTTTAGCATTAGAATGATAAAAAAATACGTTGATGATCTATTTTTGATTATCAAGGAAAATGAATTGACCAAAATAACTAAAGCATTTAATTCGTACCATCCATCGATTATCTTTACCCATGAAGTGGAGGTAGATGGCAGGCTGCCTTTTCTAGATTTAATGATAATACGAAATAATGGCAATTTATCAACTGACTGGTATCACAAGTCTACTAGTTCAGCTGTTCACACTCCACACAAATCAAAATTAACATTATTATGAATTTAATTGATAGATCGTTTAAGCTAAGTGACAAGTGTTTCCAACAAAAGAACAAATTAAAAATAGAAAAGATTCTTGTATCGAATGGTATTAATTCAGGAAATACTGATATGGATAGGCAGATTACTCCATCCAATAACAATAAAAAATTTCGACCTTTAACCTTTGTAAAAGATATGTCAAACAAATTAAAAGTTTTATTGGAAAATAAAATCAATGATGTAAAAATAGTTTATAAATTTGAAAACAAAATAGGTAGGAAGTTTTTTACAAAACTAGAAGACAAAGAGCAGAAAGAAAAAATGTCAAATATTATTTATTGCATCAAATGTAACGACTGTCCAACTGTATACTATGGCCTAACCAAACAGAAATTAGAAAGGGTTAGAATCCAAAAATATGACTGTAACAACCACAATAGAACAGGTACATGCGATTGACAAGAAGCACAATTTTAATTTTAATATATTACAATTAATTAAGGTTTTTAGTTGAGATAAAAAGTCAATGGCATGAGCGGGATTCGAACCCAAATCACTAACTTAGTGAATTTAATGATTTAAAATGAAGTATACTTCACTAAAGCTCTCCGTGGCCATTTAATTTGTCGTCGAGAATCCAATCCGATTACACGACATTTGAAAAATGGCAAAAAGGAGGGAAAATATAAAAGGTGGGGTTGAGATGGGAAGTTGGTATCCGAGTGGATCGAGGTCACGATAGCTCAAGTGGTAGAGCAGCGGCGTATCAAGTCGAAGATCGTGGGTTCGAATCCCACTCGTGCTATTGACTTTTTTATCTCAACTAAAAACCTTAATTAATTGTAATATATTAATTGGTCAAGCGGACCAAGAAATTAGTGAATTTAATTTTAATATAGATGAAATAAAAATCATGGATAATGAAAGAGTACTTGGCTGTAGATTGTTAAAAGAATCCATGTTTGTTCAAAAAGATTGTAATTCCTGTAATCTATAGACTGACTGTAATAAATTAACAATTAATTAAGGTTTTTAGTTGAGATAAAAAAGTCAATGGCACGAGCGGGATTCGAATCAAATCCCAATCAAAAATTCAAATGTGTAATCAAAATGGCATTGAAAAATGGCAAAAAGGAGGGAAAACTCAAAAGGTGGGGTTGAGATAGGAGATTGGTGTCCGAGTGGATCGAGGTCACGATAGCTCAACTGGTAGAGCAGCGGCGTATCTAGCCGAAGATCGTGGATTCGAATCCCGCTCGTGCCATTGACTTTTTTATCTCAACTAAAAACCTTAGTGAATTGTAATATATTAATTGGTCAAGCAGACCACGAAATTAGTGAAATTATTATTTTTATTTAGGACGTCGTACATGTAAGTTGAATGTTAATGTTATCT